GTATTACAAATAGCAACACCGCATTCATTGTGTAAATTTTGTCCCCGAACGACAATCTCGAACTTTAAATTTTCAAGAATTTCTAAGTAATTAAGCGAGTAATTACCCGAACACGCTTTTCTTTTGAGAAAGAGCTCAGCTTCGAGGTCCTAAAAGAAAGGAGCAAATTTAAGTATAATTTCTCAAGGGACACTATACGTCATGACGTATTAAACACATACTATGTACTCGTATATTAAAATTCGTGCCCAAAATAAAGGCCATCGTTTTCATGTAATTATTGGTTTTTTAAAAAAAAATGTGTAAAGATATAAACCAGATTTAAAGTGACAAGTAGTGATTCCTGACGATGTTTTGAAAGGTTGTAAGTGACGCAGTACGTCACTACTCCATAGGTAGAGCTTTCCAAACGCGCATTTTAAACGAAATAGTATAGGAAAGATTTAGTCATAAATTTAGTTTGTAAGCAGGTATTTTCCATTTGAAATTTGTCAACCAAGAAGTTACTTATACTTCTTTTTTACATGTACTGCAATGAACACCATAGCTAAGTTTAAGATAAAATGGTGGCCCCATTGAAATGATGACATAAACAAACGTAATAATAAACAGGAAAGGACTTGATTGGAAAATAACAACTTATGCAAAGCTACTGATTTGATGTCAACTCGAGCAGAAAAATGTCAATTGTAACTGTTCGCTCTCCGGAATTAATGTCAAGAGATTTTAATTCACTTTATATATTTTTAAAATTTTTTTTACTCGTAAAGTTGAGATAGAAATGTTTTGAATTTTGCGTTTTCGATGATTCATGCAGCTTAATATTTTTTATCAAACTGCGAAATAAGCTAATACAATATAACTTTATGTTTTAAAAGTGTTTAACAGTGGAAAAACTTATGATAAAAGGAAACTTGATCGTCCTCTTGAATCGAAGTAAGGAGGAATTGTATCCTTTTGTGTAGGTGTGTAGGGTAAAGAACGTCAAATTAATTAACGAAATTACAACAATTTGTCAAGTAGGGACAGTGGAATTTTTTTTTCCGGATACTTGCTTGCCAGCTGCGTCCCATTTGGCAATAAGACTCAATAGCCATAAAAGGCCTCTCTTAAGCTATTTTCAATTACATTCGCATTTTTCGCCAAGGACATTAAAAACAATTGTTTTTACGCATATTATAATTTAACAGAAAACTAAATTATTTCAATGTTTCGATTCGTCTTTAGGCAATGTTAAGATGGAGATATTAGTTTGTATATTGTTAATTTATAACAATAAATTACTTGCTATGTTATTAAAGAAAACAAACATCGAAGTGATGTCCTTGTAGTATATCATACTATTCATGTATCACTTTCTCTATACTGCCCACGTTTTAAACGATATTGTTTCAGTATTATATAACTTATATCAATTGGTATCTCTTAGTCGTAGTAGTATTATTACGGTGGTAAGGCCACGCAACAGCCTCGGCTGTTGCACGAATGGGCAGGCTCGTCTGGGTAAGTACCACGACCTCACAGAAGACCGTCGTAAAGTGGAAGTATGACAAATACTTTCGCGAGTCGATGAGTGAGCTGGCCGGAGCCCAATTTTCAAAAGGCTATCAACACATCAGGAGCCCTCGGGTGTAGCAGATGTCCATGGGCGTTGGTATTTACTTAACATCAGGTGAACCGTCTGCTCGTTTGGCAACTTTTCACATAAAAAAAGTCACTTTATTATCTTCGTTTATACAACCAATAATTACATGAAAACGATGGCCTTTATTTTGGGCACGAATTTTAATATACGAGTACATAGTATGTGTTTAATACGTCATGACGTATAGTGTCCCTTGAGAAATTATACTTAAATTTGCTCCTTTCTTTTAGGACCTCGAAGCTGAGCTCTTTCTCAAAAGAAAAGCGTGTTCGGGTAATTACTCGCTTAATTACTTAGAAATTCTTACAAATTTAAAGTTCGAGATTGTCGTTCGGGGACAAAATTTACACAATGAATGCGGTGTTGCTATTTGTAATACCTACTAATTTTTGCTTCCTTCTTCCTCTTGACATGACGGCATGTCCAAAGAACAGTTCATTTTTAATGTTTTAAATACTATGTTAGTACGTTACAATTCAGCGCTTGTCATGTATGTAAATCTTCATTCAAAAATGTAGATATTCGAATCCGTTCAGGAGTTCAGGCATGATATGTTAAAAGTATAATAACACAATAAAACGGCCGCGAATTCCGAAGACGTGGGTTCGATGCCCACAGCGGCGACAATCTTTTTTAAATTTTTCTACACATTTTAACATAATAAAGTTCAGAAAATAGCAAAAACATGATATTTTCTAAACGATATATTAAGTCGTACATTTATCAAAAGAAAGGGTGTAACTGGAATAAGTTGAGTTGAAAATGAAGCGATGAGGTTTGGGAGAAAAGGGAATTTTATTTTTTAATAAGTTTAATTACTTTTGAGATTTTTCTTCACCGGTAACATCTACAGTGAAGTTCATGGGTAGGTAAAAGTAACGATGTAGTGTATTGAGACTAGCTTTTCGCCCGCGGCTCCGCTCGCATGTACTACTCGTACATTTTATACATATCGTGCTTAAACAGTAGCCTACAATCTTCCTCAATAAATGGGCTATCTAACAGTGAAAGAATTTTACAAACCGGACCAGTATTCCCCGAGATTAGCGAGTTCAAAAAAATTCTTCAGTCTTATAATGTTAGTACCGATATCCTCTTATTTTTGTACGTCTCATCACTACTAAAATACTTTCTAGTGCCGTTCAGGTCGATATCGGCCCTTGGTTTCTGGCTCATTTCCTGTTAAGCAGATCCAGGGGCGAGTCGAACCTAAGGAAGTTGCGTTCAAGGTCATTCTAACAGTATAAAAAAGGTATATATATCATATTGTCGCAAAGTTTTATACATTTTAATGTATAAAACTAAACGACCCCCAATGCTGGTGGGTCGTTTTTATAGATGATGGTACGGAACCCTTCGTGCGCGAGTCGGACTCGCACTTCGCCGGTTTTTTTTAACTTTATATAAACTTACAATCCTCGTTCTTTTTCAGATCACAATATATAGATAACTATAGTTTCGTCCAATTCAACTGTAGCTATTAGATAGCATTTACATCACAGATTTTCAATTTGGTTTTTAAGTTGATATAACCTTTTTTATTTATTATTTAAATAAAACTCACACTCACTAAATGTTAAGTTGAGCTTAGTACAGTGCAGAAATAAAGTTGCACCCAAATCGGTGAAGCCGTTTCTGAGATTAGTGCGCACAAACACACAGACAAAAATTTTAACAATCATGTTTTTGGGTTCTATTGCGTTGATAAAGATAGAGAAGAGATGATATTTAATGGAAGTTGTTGCAGTCGAATCAACGATTTGTTTTAATACAAACATTTGAATCACTACTTGTCACTTTAAATCTGGTTTATATCTTTACACATTTTTTTTAAAAAAAAAAAAACACTGCCCCCACTTAGGATATCATTATCCTGTATTGTAAGGACGTTTTACAAACATAAATTCCACATGGACAAACACCCAGATTCGAAAGAACTATCTGTGGGTCGCACAAATAGACTCTAGAGAGGTCTCTTAAAAGCGGAGCAAAAACAAACAACCAGAAGATATTCTTAGTTATTTGAAACCATTTGTTTCTTTATCATAGTTGTGTCATTGGCGATATCATAAATGGACCGCCAAGTAAAGAAGAAGAAGACGTGAGGTCATGATAGCTATTGACTTCGTAATTTGGATTAGCGGCCACACCGCGGCAGTAAATAAATAAAACTATTTATTGCTTAAGTGTTTTTTAGGAAGTTGTTAAAAGATGAGCTTTTTTTTTTCGCATGCCACCTTCTCACATAAAAAAATCAAGCTGAAAAGCCGACCACGTCCGGCAGTAAGCCACAAATATGGCAGTGGTGTGGCGGGCTCACGTGTCCCTTATGCGCACGGATATCCGTCAACAAAATTGGTTATGCGAGCCACCAGAACCGAAGTGATTGCCGTGGCCGATAATGGACAGAAAGTTGTGTAGTCGTAATGTTATACATATTAGTTTTGGTCAAAATGGTTTTAACGTTATTGTTACTCGTTATATTAGGCTAGGGCATGTCTAATAAATATATTAACGAGCGTCATATCTAGTAACAAATAAGCGCATGTTTGATACGTACGACAACGACGAACACTATAATGCAACGGGCATCTTAAATGCCTAAAAATTCCAACAGTTAAATGAGTCCCATCTAAATTCGATAAAAAAGAAGGACCATACCCTATCGTTTTATTTTTTAAGTACAATATTAACTATTACATTACAGTATTTTACGGATTTGATCGCGTTTTGTTTTAAACCCCGTCGTTAAGACTTAATAGTGTTCATGGTCACGAGAAAGACGATTCCAATTAAACGCGATAAAAGCAATAAATTAGTTTAATGTTCTAAATTAACTTGTACTCTCGCTGGTGTTTTAGCTTTCAGTCCGTAGACTATTAAAGCTTTATTGATGACTCCGTGACGCAGTTGCGAAGGCATTGGCATCGGCATCGGGGTCCCGGGTTCGATTCTCACATGGGACAAGTAAGTATTCGTGGTCTATTTATTTAAAAAAAAAATTGGCTGATTTAAATTGCGCTTTATTTTATTAGCGATTTTTGGTATTAGGGTTACTTTAGATTACAGAAGCTAAATTTCGGCATCAATAGGCTTCTCATGCTAGAAAAATGGCCACAACAGCACTTGCCATTTTTCAATGTTAATAACGTACTCTTTGGGTCCTGCACTATTGGTAACACTAGCCACGGATGTCAAATATGCATTAAGCAATTTTAAGCATTTTGTTTTCACGTCAAAAGTCAAAACATTGCATTAATTTTGTGACAGTTAAAATAATTAGAAATTAAAACATAATAAATTAAGCTTTTCAATTATTCTCTACCTTACAAAATTCTGAAGCAACAATCGAAATATGGATGATGATTCTATTCAGACTTTACGGAAATCTACCCGGGAGTCATTAAAATTAAACCGGCGATTTCAAAGGGATGAAGTTAATGATGTGCAACGATGTATAAAACAATTAAGGTTAATTATTATTATAGTTTTATTTACTGCATTCCAATCTTAGACATGAAGCCTGTCATATTAAAATCAAAATCACCAATTTTTTTAAAGAACCGGTAATTTACTGGTACTTATAAAATGTACGTTTGAAAATTACCGACATTTATTTTAAAAACAATGCCTAAAAATTTTTAAACGTGGATTGTTATTTTTGATAGCTAATTAGACAGTATATTTTTTTTACTATGCAAGGTATAATTTTAACTGAAAGAATAAAACAATCGATTTTCTAAAACATCTTGTCATATCTTTGCGTCAATTTGTTGCAAGTTGCTTTTATTCTAGCATATCGCCACAAAGTTTTGATGAAGTTGTCCAGAAGTTAAAGTCCAAATCCATTGTGATGGATGCCGATCTTCAAATCCTTAAGAATGGTTTAATGGATAATCCAAAGAACATTGAAATTGTTTTAAGAACCCATGGAACTTTACGTGGCCTTGTAAGAGAGCTTTCAGGTAAACATTATTATATTTCTTGCGTTCATGCTTCGACATTAAATTTAGTAGGAATAACAAAATGGTATGATGAATTATTAATTTTTTGAACAGTAAGAGCTTTAAACAAACCTTTATTGTATATATCTAATTTTGATTTAAATTATGTAATATAATAATATAAATTTAATAAATATTTTCAATAATTATTACTCATTTTTATCTAATAATCCTATTTTACCTGAATTGTAATGTGTAACTTAACAATTATGAATACTTTTTAAATTATACATTAAAAAGTATTCATAATTGTTCGGTTACAATTTGTTTTAAATTAGGTTTTAGTATACTTACTTCAAAGTTGATAGTTTTAAATCAAAATTTTACATACCCAAGATACATTCTTGTTACAAACATGATGCTTGTTAAAATCATTACTTTATTATAAATAAGAAATATAAGGATGGGTGTAAAGCCTTACTATCTATAAAATCAAAAATTTTTCATTTACACACATTCACATTAATTATAATATTATTGTTTTCTAGGTAATGACATAAGAAAACAGTGTGCTGCCGCGGGTTGCTGTTGTAACCTAGCTCTCGGAGATTCAAGAGCATGTATGGCTATAGCTAAGGCATCTGGCCCATATCTGACAGCAGCTCTTGACAATCTCACTGCTGAATTAGCGGTTAGTTTAAAAAGTGACTGCTTACTATGATAATTTGAAACAAGTAGTTTTAAATCATCATCACAATCATCATTTTTGTGTAAATAAAAAATTAGAAGTTTACTAATTAAGTTAAAGATATTAACTATTTTAAAAATTCTGTATGAGAAACAAAATTTGCCAACTTTATATAATATTACATCTATTTGGGTTTTACATATTCCATAATATACAACAACAAATATAAAAGTAAACTAACAGACCAAACTGCATCGAAGTACTGTACACTAACTGTGTTAAGGGCCACCAAACAGCGTTCACTGTTGCACGAATGGGCAGGGCCATCTGGGTTAGTACCACGAGACTATCACTTAACATCAGGTGAACCCCCAGCTTCTTGGTCACTTTCTCAAATTAAAAACCCTTTCCTGTTGTAACAAACACAGGTACCCAGTACCTGAGATATCGACTTGCAAGTCGAGATATGCCGTTATTAGTGAAGGTTTATTTTGAATTGTTTGACAGATAAACTGCGCTTGGGCATTGGGCAATTTGACCGGCTCTGGGACGAAGGCGTGCGATGTGCTTGTAGCACAGGGCGCATTGTCAAAACTCTGTGAACTGCTGGAGAGGAATAACGATGATCTTCAAGAAGCCGCAACTTACGCACTTACACACTTTGCATATCACATGGAAGACGATCTGAGGTGAGTGTTCTGCATTTCTCTCTCGGGGCCTGATAACTTCCTTCTTTGAGTGGAATCATGAACTATCTTTGCTGTTTAATTATGTTTAATCTGAGGAATGTGGCTAATATGTGGAGTTTTTGCAGCAAAGTACAAAAATATTGTCCCAATGTAAAAGCACACCCACATTTCTGAATATCTGGATTTTGTTAAATCCGCTCAATTAATTTTATTCAACACAATATTGCTAAAATGGCACATAATGTCCTCCAATACATGTGAGAGAGATAGCCCCCGTCACTTTTTTTATGTGAGAAGGTAGCCAGTGCTATATTAAGTGATAACCGACACCCATGGACATTTGCAACATCCGAAGGATTGCACATGCGTTGCTACCTTTTAAGTGGACCCCAGCCACCTCACTCATCAGACGAAATGCAGTAGTATAACACGTTCGACTTCACAACGCTTCCGGACGGACCTGCACATTTGTGCAACAGCCGAATTTGTCGCGTGGGCCTGCCGCTGAAGCTATTAACCAGATTAAAACATTTATTCTGTTTTTTGGGTTCATCTGTCTGTGGTTCTTGAACACTATAGTCGTCACTGTTTTACAAACTTACCTAATTATTTACACTGTTTCATCTCAGAACCGAACACCTTCAGAAGTTGCTGAAGGCATTGTCAAAAATCGAAGCCAGTCCATCCACCTGCCAACTGGCCTTCATACTATCCTGTCACGGGGACTTCGTGGAAAGTGTGCCCGGGGAATTCCCGCAGAGGTTGCTGGCGGCCTTGGACACGTGCGTGGCGAGACACCAAGGCGGCTGCGGGAGGGACTGCAACTGCGAACTGGTGTATGTGGTCAGGACGTTGGCCAATATGGACGAGGAGGTGTACGGTGCTGTATTGCATCGCTTCTCCAGCGGTGACCTCGGCAAGAGGCTTTGGCAGATTCTTAATTCAGACAGCGGTGGACTCGGGCAATCCCTGTTGTGGCTGTTCGGCAATTTATACAACTCTCGCACCGACGATGCGTTCTTTGCTACTTTATGAGAATCTTTGTGTTTTTTATTATTTAATCAATTATTGTAACTAGCATTTTCAATTCTGCTATCGTCAGCAACATCACGCATCGGTTATCACTCGACTGGCTTGTTAATTTGTTTTTTTTTTTTCTTACGAACATGAATGAAAGTGATAATAAAGGTGTTACAGAATATTAGTTTTATTGAAATCTTAAAGGGCTGACACCGACACACAACGAATAAAACACAGGCAAAGAGTTTGCAATAAATATATTAATATATCAATAATTATAATAATATATTATGTATATTATATAATTTAATAATCAGATTAATATGGATAAGACTACAATTACAGCATACAGAGGTTTATAATGACTCACAAATGTAGCTAAGGGTGTGTTCACACTAGCAGCAACGAGCGAATATAAAGATATTTTGATAAAATTTCGTTCCTTATGAATACCCGTAAAGACAAAAACTTTATTTAAATACTATCAATTATTTATATTTTTATTGTATTACGTACATATTATGGAATTTACCTAAAAAGCTAACAATGAAGAAATAAATAAGATGATAAACAAAATGATCATTCAATTGTCTTTATAACTTCAACTTTGTGGATCCACAACTGTCTTAGTTTCGCTTCCTTCTGTGTAAATTATTTCGTTGGGCTCTTTAAAAAAAGATTTGCTTATATATGCCGAAATAATTATGTCATAGACTTTGGTTTTCAATCATAACATGACTTAAAAAAATCCCCTTGCAATACACGTACACGTAAACCTTCTTAGAAATGTAAATAATCACAAATCAATAATACCTAAATACTAATTACACAACAAGTGGTACCTCAGCTATTATACGACTGGCGCGCGCATTTAATCTTATTCCATCGCTTTGTTCCAGCTATACATCGCTCTCTTTACGCCATATCTTTCTTCGATTTCATGTAACGAAACGTACACAAAACTCGACACGTCCTAGCAATTTCCCCCTCAATTTTGGTCCAATTCTTCTGCGCCGCATAATGTTGTAATTCAGAGAACTTTCACGTGCCTTCAAACGTGTACAACGCCGCTAGTGTGAATACGCCATTTTAAATCTATATTTACCTACAACGAGATGCACTGCACGCATAGCCGTATGGAGATTCACTTTCATTTCCACTGTGAAGAGGCCGTCGATTCGTGGATTCGTCGTTTGTACAGGCCGCTATGCGTGCAACTGCCTCCGCGGCAGTAAAAATGTATCTTTTGGAATGGTTAATATATTAAAGTAAAGGAAAACTATTGAGCACATAACATCATACATCAATGCGTGGATAGGGGGAGGTAACTATTTCACGCACTATTGATTGCAGCGACCTTACCTATTACGCTGTCACTTTTAAACTAGACCTTTGCCTAAAATCGCGGGTCTCCAGTGTAGAAGCATTTTATTTCGCTTCACCCATAAAAGTTTCTAGTTCACTAGTAACTCCGCCGTTATATAGCGATGGCCTAAGCTCCTACGTTGATTATGAGGCTAGGTCTCTTGGTTTTTTCGTATGTAACCAGCGAAATAATTATGGAATTGGAATTTCTATTCGTAATTCTTGCTGCAGTTATCCTAAAATTGACATGTCATAAGTAGTTTTTTTTCCATAACTTTCCCGTCAACAAATTGCTGCTTAGCCATGTGCGTTTAACACTTTAACTACCGTTCCACTGCTCTCTAAATATTATATAAAACATTTCTTTAAATTTCTTATTCAATTACGATAAGAGTTTAAAATTTCAAAGGCTTAAAGCGCTAGTGGTGTTTCACGATAAAATATTCTCAAGCCATTCTTTGTCTTACCGCCCTTACGTCTGTCAAAGTGACAGCGCGGGAGAACTGTTCAACGTTCCTTCGTACGCAGTACACCTACAGCCTTTCCGTTTACATGAGCTCACTGCTACATCACGACTCGTTACAAACGCTCTGATGTTTAATTAAAAAAAAAACAACAGCGTGCGTCGTACGCTCGAAAATAAAAACAAAACCTCGACGCGGCCGTCAGACCGTTTACGAACTCATATATCAGGCGGTCACGCCTAATCGAGGCTGGATGAAACGTCCATTGTTCTGCTCTGTTGTCTGGTGATGTGAGGGCAACGCGGAGGGCGGTCGTCGGTTACGTGTGGTCGGTGGTGTGCTTTCGGTGGTGGTGGCGGCGTTGCCTCGGCCGGGCCTCGCCACCGCCCCCGCCCCCACCCCCGCCCGTGCTTCCAGCACCGTTTGCGCACACTGCAACACAAAACGAAGCAACGTTGTATACGCTCTTACTTATGTGTGTATAGTACAGTGACTCCTAAGACTATATGAATCTGTAATGCTGCTTTATAGAGTAGGCGGCAAGCGAGCAAGTCGAGTGATGGTAAGTGATCATCGCCACCAATGTACGATAATGCATACTCAAATGTTGATAAAAATATTTTCTGTCACTATTAAGTATAAGGCTCAGATCTGAAAAACAGCATCACATGCCGAGTTCATCACTTCACATCTCACTACCTGTAAACTGATACCTAATTTACGGCCGGTGTCAATATTCTATGTATATCGACGCTTGAAAGGCAACCCTAACTAAGCGACAAAAATCCGTAAAATGAGTTATATATACCATTCGAATCGCCAGAATTTTTCGCGTCGTTTGATCTGAGTCTCATGGTTCTACGACGAGTTTTTTGTCGCTTAGATATTGAGAGATTTCGGTAAAAATCTACATAATGTGCTTACTAAACGACAAAAAAATATTGATTTTAAGAATATGCAGCACATCGACATTTTGAAAATTAGGAATATGAACTTAGTCGGTTTCTTATATATTGACTTTTTCATTTATTTGTATTTACGTATTTTTACTTGTTATGAAATTTCCCTTTGAAACTACTTAGTAGATCTTACCTACAAAAAGCAATTGTAATTCATGTGGTTACGTATTTTAGCTTGTTATTATATTTTGTGAATGTGTCTTTTGTATAAGTTAACCTGAAATAAAGCGGAAGAAAATTAGAGCTTAGATATTTTTAGTTGATAACGGTTAATATTAATGATGTCGGTTATATAGTTCTACTTGATATTCTAAATGACCAAGCATGGCGAGTAGATAAATTTACCCGTACGCAAATTTTATTTTCCCGTCGCTAAGGAACTGCGTAAGTTTCAAAAACTTTGTATAGATATACACGATACGTGAAGTGACACGCCTATACGGGTTCTCAACCAGGCGTCTGCAGTCGCTTAGGGAGGACGTATTTAACATTTTGGCGCAAATTCAATGAAGACATGGTAATCGAACAAATTATGCAAAACTCTCTCAAAACAGATAGTCACTTTATCAGCTGAACCAGCCATATTTATCACTTACCTCATATCACGATCTACCGTCTACATCTGCAGGACTAAGTAGAGAATCAATCGTATCAAATCTAATCTAGCATTTTGAACGTTTTCTGGAATTTTGTTGTAGTAACGTAGGTATACATTATCCCATAAAACATTTACTTATTTTACGCAGTCTACTTGGAGGATCAATTTATTTTTGTTCCTAGTATTTATATCATGAACATTATTATGTCTTGAAAATTTATCCTTATTTTTATGGACATACAAACATTTTCAAAAATGTATTGAGAAGCAACAGTCAATACCTTTATCTCTTTAAACAAGTTTCTTAATGATTCTTTGGGGCCCAGATTGTAAACTGCACGAATAGCTCTCTTTTGTAAGATGAAGATTGTATTACTGTCGGCCGCGTTTACTCCAAAGCAGAATGCCATAAGACATTATACTGTGGAAATAACTAAAATATACCAAGCGAGCCGTATGCATATCAGTTAACTGTCTTATTTTTCTGACCGCGAAAGCTGCTGAGCTAAGTCTACTCGCCAGTCTATTAATATGGGGGCCCCATTACAGTTTGGCATCAATAGTTATGTCAAGGAATACAGTTGAGTCAATAGGGTCCAACGCTTCTCCATATAAAAGAACATCAGTTTTTACATGTTTAACATTGGAAGTTGTAAATTTAATACATTTAGTTTTTTTATTATTCAACAGTAAATTGTTAGCATTAACCAATGTACTACAGTGGATAGAGTATTGTTTACATCGTCATAACTTAAAGAACGTCGTTTTACTTTAAAAATTAAAGAGGTATCGTCAGCAAACAATACTATCTCATGATTATTATTAACTAGATAAGGTAGATTTATGTAAATGAGGAAGGGAAAAGGCCCAAGAATAGATCCCTGCGGGACCTTCATATTTACCAGGGCCCCAGGAGATCTCTTGCCATTCACGTCAACTCTCTGTATTCGATGGCTCAAGTACGATTTCAGAAGATTGAGTGCAGCATCTCTTATTCCATAGTGGCGTAGTTTCCTGAACAAGGTCTGATGCTGTACACAATCGAAAGCTTTGGTTAAGTCACAGAATATACCTAAGGCATCCTGCGACTCTTCCCAGGCTTCAAAAATATTCATAACAAGCTGAACACCCACATCCGTTGTTGAGCGACCCCTAGTAAACCCATATTGCTTGTTATGTAATAAATTATGAGAGCTAAAATGCTGTAACATTTGATTAAACATGATTTTTTCAAAAACTTTACTAAGAGTTGGCAGTACAGGGATAAGTCTAAAATTATTGGGGTCGGAAGTACTACCAGATTTAAACACCGGAATGATTTTACTATGTTTCATATCATAGTTCATATTCATAAGGCCAGGAAATTCGCCACGATTGATACAAATATTAAAAATAGTTGCTAGGTAAGGCGATATAGCATCAATAATAGAACTGATCACCTTAACCGAGATCCCCCATAGATCTGCAGAGAACAGATTGTCACTCTATCTATTGGGTGTCGTCCTATACTGCGATGGCCAGTACGAGGCTGCCACTCGAGAACCTTTCTTCCCCAACGGTTATCAGTTCTACGAGCTATATGGCCGGCCCATCGCCACTTAAGCTCACTAACCTTCTGAGCTTTGTCGGTTACGTTTGTTCTACTGCGGATGTCTTCATTGCAAACTCTATCATGCAGAGAAATACCGAGCATAGCCCGCTCCATAGTTCGCTGAGCGATTTTGAGCTACCTCATACGGCCAGCAGTGAAGGACCACGTATCAGTCCCGTATGTCATCACTGGCAGCACACACTGGTTGAAGACTTTAGTCTTCAAACATTGAGGTATATTCGGCGCGAAGATTTGCCGAAGTTTCCCGAACGCTGCCCATCCGAGTTGGATTCGCCGATTGACCTCTGCGTCGAAGTTGAACTTACCTAGCCGGACTAATTGTCCTAGATATACATATTGGTCAACAAATTCGAGCACAGTGCTCCCAACAATAAAATTAGACATGATCTTCGTCTTGTCCATATTCATATTAAGGCCCACCCGTTGCCGTTGTGAGGCACTGTTTAAGGTCATTGAGCATAGTACTAAGGTCCGCCTGCGATTCTGCCATGATGACTATACGTCGGCATATAGAAGATGGGTGATGTATTCGCCATCGATGTTTATACCACGTTCTTTTCAGTCCAGAAGCTTGAAAACATTACTATGTTTAATAGTTTATTCATGATAATTCATTTACCTAAAATTGTTAGTTATAGTTTTTTAGAAAATGAGTCATCTTCATGATAGTGTAATTTATGATTGCGACTGCAATAACAATTGTTCAATTTAAGATGATCTCAGACTCCACATAATTGATTTCATTTATTTTTGTGCTTGATTTACCAATACAGTTGTTGATTTAATGTCAATTACGAAGCTAGGTTTGGAGTAATTTTAATAACTAGATAGAATTTCCACAATCACAAAAATCATTAAATAATGGTTAGGTAAATTTACTTGATTTATTAATTTAAACTCTGATTATTTTAGATCAATTTTTCTGTATCAAAATTTTAAACTAAGTAAATTTACCTATTTTTACATGTTACAGCATATGCTACAGTGATGTTTTATATAATTTTACCTGTTTATGAAATCAGGTAAATTTTATCTACCCGACACAAACTGGTGTTTATAAAAGTGTGAGCTGTCTTATTGTGACAATTTCAATAGCAACAAAAAAATTAATTCTACCAGTGTTATCATCATTTAAATCGAACAATAGGTTGAATTTTTATGATTTTTTAAATTTATATTTGAACTTTAAATCACTCTCCTGTAAAATTTGCTAAGTGTCGCTTAGTTAGGGTTGCCTTTCAAGCGTCGATATGTAGATTTGGTTACTAGCTATAAATATTTGATATTAGCACCATAATACGGCAAAATATCTCTGGTAATCAAATCTACAGATAGAACATTGAAACTGGTCGTTAATCTATTTCTTTCTCTGGTGTATAAATTAATTGACGCCTAGTTTATTATTTACTTAATCATCACCTCTCAATCACCGTACATTACATTAGAATAAGCGAGAGCAAAGGACAAATGTCCAAGTTTGAATTTATGTACTTCATTACCCTGACTAAAAGCAAAAGAATAAACAAAACTACGCTTTTGAGAGGCTGGAGGGAAGGAGTTCTCCTTCGAACTGGCAGTCTGGCACAATCAACAACAAGTTATTGACCTAATTGAGGCTAAAGCAAAAAGCTACGTTGAACTAATTTTATGACAAAGAAATTACATTGCATTATTTAAAGCTCATGTAGGAAAAGCATTGCGAACTGTTTGTATAGATGAGTATAAATATCGATATTAAACACGGCCTGACAAACTAAACCGGGTCTTAAAAAAATCCAACTAGTTCTTAAAGGTTTCAGGTGGATCATGGGGGTCATGAGCCCCTCGAAAATTGAATACTTGGAAACATGGTATAACTCGTTCAGTCATTAAAATCTTACTAGATAAACCAATAAAGACAATGATCGTAGAAAAACATTTTTAAATGTTTTTAATGCGCCATGGACAAACTTCAATTTGGCACCCAGTAAAATAATTGCAGTTTTTATTCGTTAGTAGCGAAGACTTTACTTCGATTATAAAGATATTGAACGTAAGATTTCCGGGTACAATTAATTCTCATAAGAATACCACTAACACAACATTAAAAAATTTACGTTTAAAAGCGAAAGCACGATAATAATATTAAAATTATAAGCAGATAATGTCACTTATAAAATAAAAAACGCTACATAATTATCTGAACTTAAATAGTGGGACGTTTGTATTGCATTCTGAGGGGGAGGCCTATGTTCAACAGTGGACGTCTTGCGGCTGACGATGATGATGACGAAATAGTGGGACAATTCTTGAGGCAAATCACGACGCCGAGGACAGATCGACGTGGTGTAACATAAAGTAAAGTATCAGTATAGAATCAGCCTATACATGTCCCACTGCTGGGCAAAAGCCTCCTCTGTACAGAGGGTATTAGGGCATAGTCCACCACGCGGCCCCACTGCGGATTGGCGGACTTCACATTTCTTCAAAATATTTTTTTTTGTTATAATTTCATGAAAATATGCAGGTTTCCTCACGATATTTTCCTTCACCGCTGAGCACGTTATAACTCGCGATAACTTAAAATGAACAATTTCATTAGTGCCGGCACCGGGGATCGAACTCAGGTTGACAGGTGTGACATAACCCGACAGAAAATAATTCTAAAACAGAAGTCACGGCCCTCAGAATTGAGGCTATACGATGCAAGGAGGAGGAGGAGATAGTGGGAATAGAGATTTCGATATCCAAAACTATTTTGTAAATGTTGAACAGGGTACTGTTTAAGAATACACTGTGGTCAAACATGATGGTAACCATTTTATATATGAAAAGGGAAACATTAATGAAACATCATGAATATAAAAAGACAAAAATAAGGGATCCTAAAGAGTACCATAAATATTTTCTTAAAAGATTACATAAGTAAGAATTATTTAATCTCGTACAGAAATCGTTTAAAAATTCTAATCCTAAACTGCCATTTTATGGACAAAAGAGAAATAAGAAAAACGAAAAAATTGTGAAACCGTAGTAGTTACTTTTATCTTTACTGACTGAATGTTTATACCTTGACCTTCCCGAACTGATAAAAATTTCATCAAATTGGAGATCTGCGGTAATATAATTTTTGAAAATGCTAAACACAATGGAGCTAATCAATAAATACGTACTGACTGTATATATAATTATGTAGGTTCTTGTAAGTAAGAAATCAGTAATACCGTTGCAAATCGTCGGAAAAGTATTAAAGAAAGACAAATGCAGTTGCTTTGTGGTAGATTAGAATTGGTTAATGTTAATATAATTATGTATGCTTGACTATGGAGTTTGATTAAAGCGAAATTTACTTAGATATATTACGTGATTCAGCTACCCAATATAATTAGCACCACTGTTAGCTGTGTTAGTACACCAACAGTCAGTGAGTTGAAGGAAGCGTTGAAACAAAAGGATTCGCTGCTTAATTACTGGCCGCGGATGTATTCGCGATATTTTTTATGTTAATAAAATAAACCTCAGTGTGTCCTCACCCTTTCCGTGCGGTATCATTTTTGTAACGACAATTTTCAACTCTGGATACGTGGTCATAGAGTCCACTCGCGATCTATCGTTCGCTTTCGACAAATTTTCATTGCTTAACTCTTTTAATCGGGGCGCGTCTGTAAATAAACAAAAGGGGCATGTTCCTAGCGGTTTGGTGGACAAGCCTTAATCTTTTTTTTTTTTTTTTTTGCTTTTGTTTTTGTGTCTTTAAGGAAATGTCTGTTTTTAAAACAAAAAAAGAGTACATAACACATAAGGATATACTTAAATAAATATGTCTAGACCCTTAATTACTATATTAATAGGTAATTTAAAGTTATGGTATTTTAAAGACTAAATACAAAGGGGGTTATGGATTGAATTTTTTTAACCTTTTCAAGCAACTTTTGACTTTCTCACATCTAAAGTACTATGCATGTATTCTTCGCTCTCCCTACTTACATCGACAATCTTCGACTGTCGACTTTACGACACTTTGACGCTCACTCTCGTTCGTCTATTATTACATATTTGAACCACCCGAATGCTCTATTCACTACAATATTTTCAAACATGCAATAATTTGTCAAATAATTTCATTTTTAAAGAAACAATGGTAGAATTAGTGATTCAGTGCAGCCACAACGTGGCGCGGGAAAATAAAAACAGTCTCTAGAGGTTCTTACAAGGATCTAAAGTGCTGATGGGAATACCTTGGGGCTCCTCGGGCGGTTTGTTGGCTGCGTCCCCGATGGGTTGCTTTTTGCTCTTCTCGTAGCCGTAGCCGCGGCCGCGAGCGTGTGCTACGGAAGGGTATGTTGTGCTTCAATTAAAGGAATGCTAACGGAAGTGAAACGGACGGTCTTCATTCAATACTGTATGAAGTAAATTGATCTCTTTCGATATTGTATATGATGTAATGAAGCTTGCTAACGTCACTTAAGGGGGTGCCGGTGCAGGAAAGAAATTGGGAAGAATATACTAGGAGAGATTTAAAGAGCTTAGAGAATAGAGATATTTTAAGAGATTTCATACCTGTCTCCTTAAAGCTAAGGGAGGTTTAAGGAGACGTAGGTCGTGGTATTTCCCCGGAAGTGCCTGCCCATTCGTGCAACAGCGAAGACTGTTGTGTGTGTTGTTATTACGAAAACTCTAACACTTTCGTTTTGTTAAAACAACACCGCAGATATACTGTCACATGGATCCAGCCCATAAATATAGATAGAAAACGTTAATTTTTCCGTCCACCTGATTCCGATATTGGTTATACACAATGAACATCAACATTTAACCGATGATATTACATACAAATATGAGGTAGATATCTACTAGCGCACCGAAACTGAGGCGCTTTTCGCCAATTGGTGTAATTATATTGCAATTATATAGACTGCTATCTCTTTCGGTATCATACGTTCTGTATAATCTGTCACATTCACCTAAACATGTCATATCATATAACGCCTATCACTACATAGTATAAAACAAAGTCGTCCCGCTGTCTTTCTGTCCTTATGTATGCTTAGATCTTTAAAATTACGCCACGGATCTTGATGCGGTTTTTTTTTACCAGATAGAGTGATTCATGAGGAAGGTTTGTGTGTATAATACATTGCACCCGTGCGAAGCCGGGGCGGGTCACTAGTATACTTATATTATTAAACGATTGCGAGGACGCGGCCGTGTACGTACCGTTGGCGAAGATAGTGGCGCGGTGCGGCGCGAGCTCGGGCAGCGCGAGAGGGCGCCGGCGCGCCCCCCTCGGCGCCTCTCTGCGCACACACGCCCTCTTACACTCGTAGGAAACGCATTGGCATTAGCCCGGTCGGCGTGATGAAATCACAGACGCGTGGGAGTTTCTTTAGTTTCTTTTATGAACCCTATCACAGTCGCGTGGGAGTTTCTTTAGTTATCCTTTAGGAACCCTATTAACTTAAATTATGGGAGAAAGTACTGTTAACGGGACCCCATTTCTGAGACTCCGCTGTCTGTCTTTCCGTCCGTCTGTCACCGACTGTATCTCATGAACCGTGACAGTTCCATGAGATGCAGTCATACATGAGAGTTAGACCGTTGAAATTCTCATAGATGATGTATTTCTTTTGCCGTTATAACAACAAATACTGAAAAATATCGTAAAAAATATTTAAGTGGGGCCCCCATACAACAGATATATTTTTTGCTGTTTTTATAGACAAATGGCACGGAGCCCTTCGTGCGCGAGTGCGACTCGCACTTGGGCAGTTCTTTTAAAATACAATGCCCTTACTGGAGGATATCATTGTCCCGTGTTGTAAGGACGTTTTAGATACAACGTCACGCACACAAACGACCAGACCCGAAACAACTATCTGCGGGTGACACAAATATTTGTCCCGTGTGGAAATCGATCCCACGACCCCAAATTAAAAATTTAACATGGGCTGTTTAGTTCTCACACAGACCTATTTGGTGATTTGAGCTTTGGGATACTTGCTAACTTCAACATTAGTACTGATGATATTTCAAGAGAACTGATGAACAAAAGTTGATGTCCATTCGTTATTACTTATGTTTTGAGCACTCACTCTCTGACGGGCTCCGCCCAGAAGTCTTGCAGGGCGGGGAAGTGGTAAGTGTTCTGGAAGCCGAAGTTGTCGAGCACTCCGCCAGCGCGCAGGCTCGCGTGCAGGGAGCTCTTCATGCACTGCAACTGTGCGCAAGGTCACTGCGCGGAGCCTCGCTCTATACTCACTCACTTCTCATTCACTTCTCACTCACTGCTCATTCACTTCTCACTCACTTCTCATTCACTCATATAGGTGCCAAACGAGTAAGCTGTTCACCGATGCTAATTATCACCGCTGCATATAACACCCGCAACGACGCAAGCTTCGAAATAGAGCTTCTTTTATTCATCGAGTTTCATAATTTGGGCTGACTGATTCCATACTGGGCACACCCTGCATTAAGCGGCCAATAATTTTATATTCACCACTCGATGATGTCATTTGACGTCAAACGATTTGACACACGATGATGATGAACTTGGATGCAGTACACTAACCAGGGCCTCATTTTAAGCTACCATTAGCGTCTGTTACACTTACAATTTACAGTTTTTGTCGATCGTCGACCCAAATTACCTGACACTTGAATTTGTTATTTCATTATTTGAACCTCTATAACATTTATCAATATAACTCATACTGAATTATCCAGCACTTTATGTTTCAACCAGATTTTCCACCTTAAATTTTAAAGACAGATGATGATGCCATGTAACTAATACCCAATTTTCAGCGGTACCTTCTAATATGGTCTAGTAATGTTGCTCTGAAGTTATCGTTGTAGTTGATAAGATTGTCCTGGACCATGACTCTAGATTTTCCTGGACTGTAACTAACGTTTGTGTTACTGATGTTGGATATGTAGGTTTCGAAAATAGTTAGCCATTACATTTGTTTAAATTAAAAAGGTGATGACTTACTAAGGGGATTGTATTGCATGTTATAGCGACCTTACCGAGAGGTGTCTGTTATAGATTTGTTATTATTAGCTTTTTAGGTTTAAGATTATTTTAGAAGAGAATAAGTAAACCTCACATTGTTACCAACTTTAAACATAATTATCTAGCTTATTACGATACTATTATATTTATGATATTATTTAAGGTACTAATCAATTAACGTTTTCCTCGTAAATGATTAACTACTTTAGAAACGTTCTGTTATAACCAATGACCAATAACGATCAGCAATATAAAGTATATCAAGCGCAAACAAACGTAGTAACTGATTAGCGGGCGCCGCGTAGCGCTACATAGCGGCGCGCGACGCCACGTAACATACGGAGCACTACATAAAGCCGCCACGGAGCGGTGCTTATTGAAGCGCGTCGCCACGTAGCGTTACAAGCGCCGCAACGTAGCGGGTCCTAGGAAAACGCTTCGCTATGTATCGGTATGCAGCGCTACAAACGCCACCACGTAGCGGTGCATAACGAAGCGTGTCACCATGAAGCGGTACACAGCGCTACAAGCGGCGCCGAGTAGCGGTGCGTAGCGCCGGACGACGCGACGTAGCGGTACGCGGCGGCGCGCATCTGTTCGTGCGACGTACGTGTGCTTGCGTGGCGGCGGCGCCGTCGAACAAGAGGTTCGTGACCGCGCCGCCCGCGGCCGCCGCGCCGCCGTGTACCTCTCTGCGCTGCCGCTCGGCGTCGGAGCGGAGGCGGCGCACCAGCCGCTCGGCGTCGGCGAGCCGCGCGCGCAGCTCGCCGCGGCTCTCCGGCCCGCCCTCCGCGCCGCCCCCCGCCGGCGCCGCGCCTCCGCCCCCCGCCACCCCCGCCACCCCAGACACCCCCGTCGCCCCCGCCGCCCCCGCAGACCCAGAACACCCCGCGCATGACGCACGCGACTCGAGCGAGCGCAACCTCCTGCAAGGATATTGCACACAACTTTAATTCGATGACCAGTACCCAGTATTGTCCCCCTGAATCCAGTCAGTAGGTTAATGAACATAGAGGGTTCAATTTAAAGTGGGAGGGTCATAGCGCGCTAATAAATTATAAAGGAACGCACTCAGCTTGCGCGTCGAGTAGGCGCTGTAGTTGCAGAGCACGCGCCTCTGCGGCCCTCGCCTCGCCTCTCGCGGCCGCCGCCTCCCGCTCCAGCCGACACACCTCAGCGCGTAGGTGCGTCTCCTGGACACAGGCACACACACACCTCAAACAGAGCGCTCGATCTTTGCGCGCTCATTTCGTAGTAAGTATTCGGATTGAAAATATGAATGTTGAAACAATTGAATTCCAACTGAAGAAAAATACTTTAATCCCATTTCACTGGTAATTTTTCTATTACATCCCGTACTATACTAGGATTAGTTACTTATTGGTTGTTAGTCATATATCTTGAATTATCATTATATATATTATCATTGTGGGCTAATATGGATTTTTAGTGACTCCATGTTCACAAAACACGTTCTCACTAGCTGGAACTCCCACCAAATTATATCGCATTTAACTTTTATTAAAGATTCCGTTATATCGTCTTTTTTCCGTGATATTGACAGAAACTTCGGGAGTTGAAAATATTTAATCATTAAGACAACATTATTGGTTACATAATATGTTAGTCCAACTACCTCGCTATTTTCGGCCGTCTCCTCGCCAGCAGGAGGGTTGGTCTTTGGCGACGTGTCCTTATTGAATATCAACTGGAACTGTAGATCTGTAAACCAGTAATCATGAATCAATAAATTTTACACTATATGTTACTGTGGTGGGACCACCACAGTCATCGATGTATCATGAATGGATACGTCCGTCCGTAAGTTCCACGACCTCACAGAAGACGTGAAGTGGAAGTATTATACTTCTGCGTTTCGTCTGGTGAGTGAGGTAGCCGGGGCCAACCTTATTAAGAAGTAGCAACGCGTCCGCAACCCTACGGGTGCTAGTAATTTTAGCTTATATTTGTTGAATTTACGACACGGGCTAGTATGACGGTGATACATGTACTTATCCAAACTTGGTAAATATTTTGCGAATAGACATATCATCATCACCTCATGCATTTCGATTCACCTGGTGACCTCTTAAACGGAGAAATTCACGAAACACACCTTGCGTATGGACCGAAACAGATGACATCATCTAAGTGTGCAACTAACAGTCCGTAGTAAGTGTAATCCAGATGACTCACTTCTTGGCATCTTATTCGAGTACACTTACGAACATGTTAGTTTAAACCGTATACGGTTCCGGTTTACTTTATGTCCTTAATGGCCATTAAAACCAAAGAAAAGACTCTATCTCACATTGATTGTTGTAATTATTGTATAAACGTGAAACATTGTTATAACATTTGTTTAAGTCATCCGAGCTGTTTAAAAAAGCATGCCCTCGATTGTACCGAATACACCGCATTCATTTGAAGATGTCTACTATATTTAGATGGAGTGTGTGCGAAATAGGCCTCGCGAGAAACAAATACTTCTGTCTCAGAGTAATTGCATTTCATTCAATGTCGGCTGGTGTAAATGTTTTGGCTTCCAGCGGAAGCCAAATTGATACAAGCTGGCACACATAGCAACACATTTAGTAAGGTTATAAAAACATGAAAGCGATTAAAGAGCCAAAACTAACTTACACTTTAGGTGCCGGAAGAATTACGGCTCACCTGTGACCTAACTCATTATGAGCAAGCTACCTTGTAAAATCAGCAAGTAATGTTCTTACAAATATATTTGCAGGTTTTGTAAATAGCACACCTTATGTATAACATCAACTATCACAGCATATCCTAAACAAAAATACGTAGTTTTTAGCTCGGAAACACAGTGCCAGTCTAAACGCGGACTTATCCTTAAGCAATATACCAAGGTACTACAATCACGGTGGGTAAAATAAAAGCGATCTATCTTACTCATTTTACGGTGATTTAATCGCGTCAGCGGAAAACACAAATCTCGGAACGAATCAAATAACTCCGTCCCACTAACGAGGAGAAGTGGCATAGATATTCCTTCTATGAAAAATTTACTTCGAACTGTCTCATCGATATTCGACGTTTCACATTCCAGCTTTGTAGATATTTTGTTGGCAAGCTGCCTCCTCAATTACTTCCGGACGTTCAGCGATGCATATTCATTTCGCTTATTAATCGCTGATCTCGTTCCGCGGCGGAGACTCGACGGACGTTATATAAGTCTGAGGGGCGAGTGAAATAGTTTAAACGGCTTACGAAGCCCCGATCTGAGCGCTGTAGGCTTTAACTCGACCGTTCCTAATATTTACAGCGTTAACAAACATAGAAAACAACAAACACCTACAGCGTGTAACTCGCGATTATGACGCGTATGACTTTTTCACTGGTTTCTTTATACCATAACCATACCCGAAACTGTTAGCGTTTTCTGTAGTGTAAGATACATTTTGCCATTAAAAATTTAAGCCCTTTCATTTTATCATAATTAATTTATAAACTTGTATATGCTCGTTTAATTCTCAGGGGATCTTACACGATGGATAATCATTGTGTTACATGCAATAAATATACAATTAAATACAATGCGACAAATTGTATAGGATTAATACTTTAAAAAATAAAGTTTTATTAAAGCGTATCTGTTAGAACAAATCGGCGTTACACAGGTTACATATAGTCGAAACAAATTCAGACTGGGGATTAGCTAGCTTATGAGTTATACATCACTAAAGCTGCGCTATCTTGTTGCGTTTTTAAGACGTCATCTGACAAGTCCATTTTTTTTTATTAACGAAAAAGAAAACCCACTTCAAATATTCATTTTATAATTGTTATTCAGGAGTTCCCTAAGTGTCTCCGGAGCCAGAGATCCAATACCAATGAAATTAATACGGGACCACATGGGAAGAACCAGCATTCAAATAAAAAAAGAATCGGTTGAAAAGGAGCCACGCGGGCAAGGACCCCGCTACGAGCCGTTTCTTACTGTTCTACCTCTGTTCCTCTCCCTCAGCGCCTCTATCTCGGCGTGGAGGCCGCTCAGCATGAGCCGGTGCTGCTCCTGGAGGAAGCGCACGCTGTGCTCCAGGTGCGCCACCCTCGCGGCCGCATCGCCGCTGACGAAGAACCCGCTGCCAGTGGCCTCTGGTGGTGACTTCTTCACCTGGAACCGCGACATAAGAGTTTATTTATCTTTCAACTTCCACGAAGCACGAACCTGAAGCACCTGCATCCATCAACTTCCCGTACACTTGTATAAAAATGAATTAAAACTTTCGGGTCTGCGGTAATCAAACCTGCACCTTCTGTGCAACGCATGCACCCATTTTACCCACTAAGCTAGGCGGCAGATGACCACACGGCGCGAAAACCTTGACTTCTATCTACACCCTTACGAATCTCATTTATCTAGATATACAAGTTTTATGTCTCATATTGAGTGCAGAGACGGCACTAAAATATAAAAATTAATCCTAAAAACGGGTGAAAGAAAGTAGTTTGACCTGCCATTGTGTTCCCTAGGTGCGCATTTGACGCACCTGTGGCAACGACGATTTTTATTTTAACTGTATTCTCGCTTCTTCTACTTATAATGGAACCCAGTGGGACGCGAAAAATCAATATAGAAAAAACAAACTGTCTCATAGCTATACTTATTGCAATATTCGTACGGCCACACAACGTCGACCTAACTGTGGCTGGGCCTCGCAACAGTCATCGCTGTTGCACGAATGGGCAGGTCCGTTTGGGGCAGTACTTCGACCTAACAGAAGGCCGGAGGGAAGTGGAAGTATTAAACTTTTGCGTTTCATCTGATGAGTGAGGTAGCCGGAGCCCACTTTATTCTAGAGTGGCAACGCATCTGCGACCCTCAGGGTGTTACCAATGTCCATAGGCACGGTAATCGCTTAGCAACGCTAGCTCGTTTACAATCCTCTCATAAAAAAACATTAAAAAACTGAAACGTTCAAACTTGATCAGAGTCAACATACTAATATTCCACCCTCAGGCTTGGAGATAATGCAATTGTTTCAAGACGCAGTGCACCAAAACCTTGAACTAATTAGATTTGAACACTGAGATAAGAGTGAGAAGTGTTTGTTTCCTTTACACTGACAGTGTCAGAGTGTTTTTCTATCATAAACTGTGGTAAGTGTAGATTGAGACGGTGATAAAGGAAGCAATAGCTAAATATCCAATAATCACCCAACTTCAAGCGTATAGCAGACATTTCTGTTTAAAAGACGAAAAAATAACCATAGACAACAAAGAAAAATTTGCATTTGTTCTCGGACGCTTACTGCGTGAGACGACAGAAAACATTTGTTGACATATGGCTGCAATTTCTCCTTTATTTTCGGGAAATATTCTTAATATAAAACAAAAAGAAATAAAAGCATTCAATGCCAATTCACAAAACAACAAAATCAATAGTTTACATTTGTAAGTCCTAAAAAGGGGTTGAGCCTGTTGCCTTGAAATGTTAAAACATTCACGGAAAGCTTAGCTCACGCAACTGGGGCAGAGATTCGGACGCAAAGACATGGAGTACAAGGAAACAATACGCCGGTTGACACTTGAAGACAAAGGAATGCGATTGCAAGCTAACAAGATAGCAGACGTGGATCGCGGCACGGGAGCGATGTCTAGACGGTCCGCTGCCACTGTGCAAACAGCGATAAAAAGCTCCAATACATTACAGCGGCACGTACTGCATTAAAATTTTATTTACACACGTCGAACTATCTTTAACGGGTGTTCTGTATGAGCTTTGTAATTTTTATTGGCTGCAGATACTAACAATCCACCCAAAGCACAGCAACACACATGAAATGGCCCTGTAGTATCCTAATGGAGCGCATATAGTCACTTCTTTCCTCTTGGTAAACAATGAAAAATGTTTTTGCCCAATTTTATGAGACAATTAAGTCAACAAGTGATATGGGCCTTTTGTCAGAACGTCAATCCTAAAAGTGTACTTACTTAAGATTTTATTGATCGACTTAATACATAATTGTATCTACGTTACTAACTTACCAACTTTCATTTGAAAAAATAGACATGGCGAGAGGATACGTTTACGCCATACACCACAGATAAGCAATGTATGGCTTTCAGCGGAATGGCTAATAAAAATACGTTATAAACACTCAGTCGGCATTAAATGTATCACTGTCAACATCGTTCTGTACTTTGCATACATTAACGGGGCAAATCCCGATCAAGGGAGTTTTCCCTTTGTGCCGTTGACCCGTCGTCCGTAGCCGTCTGCTGGCGACAATAGAACAGTTTAATTTACGCTATATTTTCATTAATTTCAGAGCGCCCAATTCGTAACTTTATGCTAAAGAGTACAACAGAAAACAAATTGATTCAAAGCGAGCGTCATAACCGCGACCTACGCAGTCAGCTCGTAAATATTAAAATCCGGAGGCGAGGGTCCTCGCTGGATTCTGAACAACGAAGCCTTCGGTTTGGGGTATGGATTTTTGAGCGTTATTCCGGAGGCGAGGGTCCTCGCTGGACACCCCCAATAGCTAGCTCACCTGCAGCTTGGCGAAGGGCGCCGCCGGCACTAGGACTTTGGAGGCCATCGGGGCAGCTGCAACACCGTTCCCGTATATTATGTCGCGACTGGCGCGCGTCCGTTGGGTCGCGCGACCGGTGGCATCTGCGCGGCCTTGGGGCGTCGCGTAATAATCGAAAATAAAACCGCTCCGAGTGCGTCGGCTATTTCGGTGGGCGACCTTGAGTCGGTAGAGAGGGACGTTCGGCGGCGACGGCGTGCCACCGATGTCTGCGCGGCTCAGGGCGGGAGGTGTGCGGGGGGGGCGCAGCGGGGAGGGGGTGGCGGTATCGATCGCGCTCTCCTCACGCGAGCTGACTCACCCCAACCTTCGTTGGCGCGGCCGCGGTGCATCAGACACTGAGTCCGGCCCAGGTATCTAAGGTACCCCACCGGCGTATTACCCATATTGGCACGCCGACGCATAGGAAATTGCCGATGCGGATCAACGCTAGTTTTCCAATGTTAGAACTTTAACGCAAGAGCTTGACAACCTAAGCTTGACGCAACACGCTTGTGAATGCTAGGAGACGTAGACATTTGCTGGCCCACGAATGCAGAACTGTTGAAGATGAAGCCTAACTTGGAATGAGACGAGAAAAGTTGTAATGAAGATAAAAGTATATAGATTGACATTTTAGCTACAATACAGTTATTCGCTTGTGTCGATCCGTTGTACAACATGTTTATATTGTTAATCTTGTTATAAATAAAGTTAAATTGATATAGAGTCGTCAATGCCAATGTGATCACACAATTAATTGGAGGTTTCGAAAGGAAACACTTTCGAAACAATAATTCATGATCCTATGATTTTGCGCTAAGACGGTTCTGAATTCTGCTGAAATATTTGCTTGTAATAGATTTTTAATGACTCTCAATCGAAATGAAGGATATAAGCAGAGAGTTGACTAGTAAGTACATGATTCAATCGTCATTTATTTTAATTTGACGTAATTAAATAAGATGCATGACCCAGCTTTAGAAACAGATTCTCCGTTGTCCTTAATACAATCTTCGTTATTAATATCGATTATTAAAAACCAATATGCATTATTTCGCACATGTAAGAATATGAAGCTAGTACCTAAGATAATAAATGCATCAACGTTGATACGCAAATAGAACATATAAAGAGAAATTTAATTCATTACATCTTTAAACTGTAAGCGATATCTTATGAAAAAAAAATCATATATGACTTCTTCACTTTTATTAAGCTTTAAAATTTAGTAGAAAAAGTACGAAAAGATTGTCGCCGCTGTGGGAATCGAACCCACGTCCTCGGCATTCGCGGCCTGACGCTTTAACCTGCTAAACTGCTGATTGCCACACCGATCAACAATCTTTTTACAGTTTCCGACAGACAGGACAACAGTTCAGCATCATAATTTTTGTTACATTTTTAAGTTATTCTTTTCATTGTTCAAGAGGCAGCTGAAAATGTAGTGTGAAAAATCGCAGGGAAAATACAATTTTAAACTTTATATTTATTTTCTTTTCATCTATAGTGTGAGTGAAATAAAATTAGCATTATTTTACAGTCATTGCCAAGTCAAGTTGATCATTATTTATTTTAATCCGACTATGACTTATTAATGTATAATGTCGTAGGTACTATGCCTAATGAATTTCGAAGATATGTGAAGTCTGCGAGTCCACAGTGGGTCTGCGTGGTGAACTATACCCTAATATGTATAGAGGAGGCCTTTGCCCAGCTGTGGGACCTATACAGGCTGTTACTTTACAAACTTTCGCCTTTATAATATTAGTAAGGATGCAAGCTCAATTTCCGCTGATACAATAGTTCAAACACGACAGAGACAATATTGACCCACCGCCGCATTGCCTCTCTTCTCGACTCTTGACCTTCGCCTAAAGCGCCCTCAAAATGTTTCAGCTTTTCAGCGTTGAAAAATCTAGAATAAGCTTTGTGCAAAGAGGTTCTATGAAATTCATATTTTTGAATTTCTTCAGGATGTATACTTATTATAAGTAATTTATACCTGCGTGTGATGTTACCATTAAAGTACACCTTAACTTACTGTACTTAATAAATAACATTTAAATACATAAATATTTTCATATGTAATTTACAATTATGTTTAAATTGTATTGTAAACATGTATCTATGAACTTTATTACATAAAGTTAGGAGCGCGAAGAGGTCGCCCTATTTTTACGTCTACAGTTTATTTTCTGTAATATTTATAACAAAAACAATTAACAATTTTGACCCTAGCTCGTGACAATGGGGAATTTTGTGATAAATTATTTCTTCATTAATAAGCTCAGTAACAGTCTTTACATGAAACTTACAATAAAGTAAAACAATCATATCTATATTAAGTTCATTAATCTTAACAATAAATCAGATAATATCTTAACAGAAGAACAAAATTTGGAACCAGAGGCGATCATCAAACTAAAGAAAAAATACCAATAATAAAGCACCATGTATCCACTTCTAGTCTATAAACTTAATGGTTATCACCTTAAAGGGGGTTAGTAGTTCACGTTGAAAAAATATTAGGCGAGCGATAACTTGTAAGTTTCCTTCACTGAGATCGAAGTAAGATTTAGGTGATTTAAATTGATTTTAATGAACTTTGTTTTTATGTGATAAGGTGGCATGCGAGCTGTCGGTTCAACAGATGTTAAGTGATAACCGTCGCCCGTTGGCAGTTGCAATACAAGTGTGGGAACACCTTTTAATAAACTGATCTCCGGTTACTTCACTCACCAGACGAAACGCAGAAGTACCTATAACACTTCCAATTCACGCCGGTTTTCTGTAAGGTAGTGGTATTACCCCGGACGTAGCTGCCCGTTCGTGCAACAGTGAAGAATGTTGCGACGCCCTACCATGCCGCAAAAACACTTATACATTTTTTTAAGGATTTTTAATTCTGATGCATCTATGTTCCTATCGATTACTCATCATTATAAAACCGAAAGAAGCAACTTGCTATCATTTTTATAAAATGTTTTTTTCTTTCTCAAAAAAACCCCCGCTAACGCCTTTAATCATAACGCTTCGAACGATTAATTTATCCATAAAATCGGAGACCATTGACAATTTTTAAGTTTCATTTTATTACAGCTTACAGCTACAGAAACGGATTAAGCTAACCAGGGAGTGACATTTTTTCTAGCTTATTACAACCCTAAACGTAATACTTGAACCTGACGCCACACTCCGGTTTATCATACAATTCTTTAATTGCTTTATATTATCACAGTGCCAGGCCTTAGAGATATCAGATTTAATTTTCTTGTTAATAAACAACCACTAAGTACCAATTATTGGATTCGTATATTCTGCGTAAGCATTCATAATAATTTGTAATGAAGAATGAAATTTCAAAGGTAACCAAAAATATAATTTAACTAATTTTGGTTGTATATTGGTAGATTCTCATTTATGAATAAAAAGAAAAACCTACCTAACTAAGCAATGGTGATAAATTGATTACGAATAAGGACGCGCGATTTAAGGTCACACGTTAGAATCTCAGCGGCGGAAAATATTAAGATTTACAAAGTGTAAATATCACACTGATGTTGTATCAGTGTAAGTTCTCGGTTTATTCTGATTATGTCAAATAACTAGAAATTTACCAGGTACCAAGCTAATAGCAACAATCCAAGTACCTACATTGTTACTGTAAATTCGTTTAAAAAACAAGGTTTAAAGAAAGAAGGTATATGTTGATAATCTTTTAAAAAAAATTCACCTGAATTCAAAACTTAGCGTCTAACGCCTTGCCCGCCGCCGTCGAACTATTTAAGTGGATATGTAGGAACTGTCCCTGTTGTGTGCTATTGTGTTACAAGATTTATCTTTGATAATCGAATGTTAAGTAATGAACACTAATTTTTACTGAATCAACATTACCCGCAATTCACCCATGTTCAAACCTAGAAAATGGGTACTTATTGTTAATAACCACGTCGCATGTCTCTCCGCCATATAAAAAGATATATTTACCTATTGCTCCTTTAAATCTTTGAGAAAATATAATTAATTACAAGCAATTTAGATACCTACCTCACCATGGAGTCCTTCTAAGTTAGTCGTGCTTAAAGTTGGCATGTTAAGCTGAGGGAAATGACGGTTCACTGGTTTTAATAAGGGACCACGAGGAGCTCCCATGGTCAACAAGGGTTCCATACTTAATAACATTGTTAAATACAAATGTTTTTACTGTAATGAAAATAAGTTTACGTCTGTTTTAATAAAGTCCAATCATTTAATCTAACCGCGACGGAAACTTTATAGTTTAGCAACATACTTTTTACGAATACATAGATAGACATAATTATATACTGAAATACGAATAATATGAGATATACGTTGCTGAGCAACCAAACTTTCAATTTAATATTTTTTTTCTAGACTTAAACACAAGATCCGTATAGTGGAACACATTTATGGAATTGTATCTCCGCAACCCCTACTAACGAAAGATGAATATTATAACTTATATAGAAATAACTTCGTCGAACAATCCTATAACAATCCTATTGTTTATAACGTTGATAGGAAGTCACCGTTTTGGACGGGGATGCGGGATAGCATCTCTATTAGATCTGTGCGGGTTAGATACCGAAAGCTTTGATCAACAGGCTTAAATGACTATTCATTCATTTAAAACTTGGATATTGATTCTTTTATAGTTTCTTGTCGACACATTTTAAAATACGGACAGAGTTGTTATTTTTAGATTGAGATACAAGCATATCAGCGTCGGTTGCATTACGAACTAAGAAAACGGTTATGGATAACTTTAAGCCGCTTCAAGTGATTAGCGGAGATATGCAAAAAAAATATAGACACGCATATGTATTTGAAAAAAAAATGTAATATAATTATTAAAATATAAATCTCAAATTTGTCAGAGTTCTCTTAATAATTTTTAGTGAGATTGATATTACAGAATAAATTTTGTGTTGCGTATGGAGCGTCTATCCGAAAAAATATTTCGAATATGTCAATCTCGTTTTCAAATATTGTTTACATTGTTTTATATTTATTATTATTTTGTTTGCATTTAGAATTTACATAAAGAAGGCATAGGAAATTTTTATTTTTGATTGAAGGACGGTTCTTTGATTATATTGTGATGATATCTGATGTCGAGAGAGGTTTTTCTTTTATGCCTGAAATTAACTTAAATGGCTTGCAGGTTTGAATTACATTAGGATTTTTTTATACCTATCTTGTTTATGTTAAGGATTGGAATTTAAATTGTAAATTTGAAAGTAGAGTAATTTTCTGATATAAACGGAATAAACATCATCGATTAATTGTTTTGTTTTGCTATTGTGATATGTACTGATACGAATATTAAAAATAGCGCTTATAAAACTAGAATGTCCTTACGCGTTAAAAGAAACAAAATTGTACTTGCGACTTCATTTTTTAAGACCAATTACACTGCTTTTCGTAGTATGTTGAAGATAATGAACTTAAACAAGCCTGGAAGTCAAGTCGGCGTGAACGAATAAAGCAACAAGAAGAGAAGATATGGGAGGAATTTATACAAGAACAAGATATAGTGCACAGCGTGTGTGAAAGTAAGTGTTTCTTTCATCATCATCATCATCATTTCAGCCTGTTTGAGTCCACTGCTGAACATAGGCCTCCCCCACAGCACGATCCTGAGCCACCTGCATCCATCGACTTCCCGCACATTTGCACAGGTCGTCACTCCATCTAGTGGGGGGGTCGTCCTACACTGCGATGGCCAGTACGAGGCTGCCACTCGAGAACCTTTCTTCCCCAACGGTTATCGGTTCTACGAGCTATATGGCCGGCCCATCGCCACTTCAGCATGCTAATCCTCTGAGCTGTGTTTCTTTAATAATATAATTTTCTTTATTAACTCAAAATAGACAAATATGTCAACTCGAAATAGAAAAATGTGTAATATTAATTAAAATTATTATCTTTTTCTCCTAGGTGACCCATATCAGTTTATTGAGCAATTACCAGACACATATCTACAAGAGCTGTTGTGTGAACGGCTGAATAAGAAACAAGAAAATGATATGAGAGATGATGTGAGTGAATATGTTGTTATAATGTTTTTTATCCTCAATAAGTAAACTATTCCCATATTTATAGTAAATATGGGAATAATTCATTTTGATTTATTACACTGTTCCCACATTCTTTGTCTAAATATTATGTTGTATTTGAAAATATATGGGTGCAAATAGAAAATTGGTAATAAAGATGAAAAGCATCCAAATATCACATATTTGGAATCAGAATAGCACATATTTGTAATTAATAATTCGTATTTAAAAGTTGTAATCATTATCTAGATAACCGTTTTTATACTTTATTCAATAGTAAAAACATATTTTTACTTATTTATTATATATATTATATTGTATAATCTAGATTGAACAGTTACATTACTGGTATTTTGTGCATACCTTTTGGTACTTGAGGGAATTCTCAACAAATTGAAATAAAGTGAAGTAGATTGGGTTTTAATCATGTGGATGCAGGTAGCTTAGAATCATACTTCATGGCAGTATGTGGCAGAAGCTTATGTTCAGCAGTGGACTCTAATAGGCTAAAATGATGATGGTGATATTGATGAAAGAGTTTAATCCATACTAATATTATAAATGCGAAAGTAATTCTGTTTGTCTGTCTAGCTCTCACCCGTAAACTACTGAACCGATTTAAATGAAATTTGGTATACAGATAGTCTAGAGTGTTGTAAAGGGGTGAAAATTCTTAATACTTATTTAAGGGCTTCAACATGAGCGAAGACGTGGGCAAAAAGCTAGTAGTATATAGTTTGAAGAATGAGGGTTCTTTCACCATATCCTTTGATATGTACATTTAAAGTTATTAAATACAGATGATTACAGAGCAATAAACATTTAGATATTGTTAATGTTCCTAACATCATTCAAAGTATTTAGCTTAACTAAAGTAAGCAATAGATAATTGTCTATTAAATAATATTCAATATAAGTCATGAAAAGCAGAAACATTTTTTTACCCAACTCTGCTTTACAACTTTACTCAACTGCAAATATCTTAGAAACAGATTGCCAACCACTGGAGCCCTTGTTTTCTTGTCACATTTATATGTCTGAAACACATATTGGAATAAAAGTCATTGATTTTCAATAAGGGATTGGATGGAATTATTGCCATTCATATACAAAAAATACATAAATTGTTAGTTACTAAAATTATTTGACATTAATTCTATTTGTATATTCTAATATATCACAATAGCTCAAACGAGCCATATTTTGCAGTGCCTTTTTTTGTTTCCTTTGGGACTTTAAAATAAAAAGCATAAATATTATAAACACTCTCCTGTTCAATGGATATGTTGTGAATAATAATCGAGTCAATCCATTGGTTAGCTTTGTGGATATATACGGATAAATACGGAAGTTATATTTTATATATAAAGAGCGAATACCTTGATACAAAGGTTATAGTTTTAGACAAGTTGTATTATTGTATGTTGAATACAACATAAAGTTAGAACGCCTTAAAATTGATTTTACAACATATATCTAACTACCTTGGTCTAATAAGTTGAGCCTGTTTCCATAATAGAGACATATACTCTAAATTTTTTTTATAAAAAAGCATTTGATGTATTACTTATAAATTACAAGTTATTTATGTGTTTTTTTTTTATGCGAAAACTTGGCAAACGAGCAGACGGTTCACCTGATGTTAAGTGAATACCGCCGCCCATGGACATCTGCGACACCCTTGGATTACAGATGCGTTGACAACCTTTTGAAAATTGGGCTCCGGGTACCTCACTCACCAGACGGAACGCGAAAGTATTATACTTCCACTTGACGCCGGTCTTCTATGAGGTCGTGGTACTTACCCGGACGGGCCTGTCCATTCGTGCGACAGCCGAGGCTGCTGCGTGGCCCTACCACCTGGTAAATTATTTACGCGAACACAACGTCTATTCAATGAAATTTTGTATTCCCGACTTTTTGGATGCCTTTCAGCATTTATAGTCATGGAACAGATATATATATATATATATATATATATATATATATATATATATATATAGCGGTGAAGGAAAACATCGTGAGGAAAGGTGTATATTTTCGAAATGTATAACGAAGATACGTGAAGTTCACCAATAAGCGGTGGACTGTGCCCTGATACCCTCAGCGTAGAGTATGCCTCCGCCCAGCAGTGGGACATGTACAGGCTGTTGCTTTACTTCTTTCATGCATTTGACTGCAGGAAGAGCAAAGCGAATTTCCAATCGATCCCACGGACAGCGTCCCAGCTCGTGACCACTGTGCTGATGAAGCGGAGGATGGCCACAACGTGTTGCACATATTCCACGACGAGGTGGACAGCGAAGAGCTATCTGGTAAGAAAATCCCTACTGTCTTTATAATCTTACTAAGTTTATAAAACCTGGTTATGCGTTCGGTATAGAATTTTCAATAGTAATAAACGTTTCACGTCAAGCGACGACTATTTTTTTTATCTGTATTGTGTACCTGAAATGCTTTTGGTATTTATTTGTCTTGCCCTAATCCCACCTATGTAATGTATCCTATAAATAATCATTCAAAATCATCAAAACCATTTTCACCGATGTGGTATTTCTGTTGCCCCTTTAACAAAAAAAAAACACTAAAAATCAGAATAAGCCATGATTTTTGCCGTTTTTATGGATAATGTTACGGAACCGTTCGCGTGCTAGTCCAACTCGCACTTGGCCGGCTTTTTTAATCTATTTCCCTTGCTGCAGAATAATATCCTGTATTCTAAGCAAGTTCTACATATACAAATATCACCCGGACAATAATATGAGCAAGCAGATCCGAACCGTGACGTGAAAGATTTTGATTGCATTTGATTTTGATTGTTCCACGTTCTTATAGGACAACTGTTGAGTTTCTTGCCGGTTTCTTCTCAACAGAAACTGCTTTCCGAACCGGTGGTAACTTACGAACGTGTTAATTTCTTGTAAAATTTTGACGTTTCATAAGAACGCGCAAGCGTGTATGTGAATAAAGATATTTTATTATTATTATTATATTATTACTCGTCTAAGTAGGTCTTTTGTCAAATACAGGCACCGAGGGCGAGGCTTTGGACGAGTCTGGTGGCAGCCCTTGCACCGTGAGGGAGAAGGAAGAGGCTGAAGAGAAACCCCCAGACCCTCAACAGGTCACCGAGAAGGTTTCAAGTGCGTCTCTCTCCATTCCTAGTTCTTTCAGTGAGGGACGATCTTTCTTCTGTTTTTATTTTTTTATTTTCATTCCATTACGTCTTAGCTAAGTGTACGATACAAATTTAGTTGGATGTGTAAAAAAGTTAATTTTCAAATTTATACCAAATTTATTTATTTCCGAGTTAAGTTTAATTACTATTTTCAATTATTCAATTATTACTATTTTAATTACTATGTTCAAACGCGGATCGTCGTCCCGATCGATAGTAATTCTTTTTGTAAAACGTAAACGGCTAAGCTTATATAAATTGCTTCTAGTAAATCCTTTCTAGACGCAAACATATTCATTATAAAATGAAAAGAAGAAAATCAAAAATCAAAATCATATACACGTCATTTATTTTTGTAATCTACCACAATTTTTAATGAGGTTCCTCTAACGGAGAAGAAACAGGCCAAAGAAACTCCGTAGGCATCCTCTTCTTTTTAGATCAATGAAATTAAGACAGTAACTTACGTAACGTTTTCAAAAGATACTTCGATAATGTCGCCGCTGCTTTGGTTTTAAAAGATAACAATTTATTCTATCGAGTTTTGCTTTCACTGTCTATTACGTAAACGGCCAGTTCGTTTATCGAGGACTGTTCTGGTAGCATTACTGCAACTGTGTGTTCTGTGTTTGCTATAACCTAAAAAAAGGAACCCAATTGCAGTTAGGTCGTCGGAAAACATCGCCAGCGTAATCGAGAACAGCATCTACTGCGCCAAGGTTAAGGATCTGCGGGTCAAGATCAACGAGGAGCTGTTAAGCATCATGTGAGTTCTTCAAATAATTGGTACAGCAACGACAACTTTAGAATATCACGGCCACGAATCGGTCAGCTCGTATTGTTCATAAGATCAGTATGACGGTATGTGACCTATCCTCAGCCATCAGTTATTCTTCTTCTTCTTCTTCTTCTTCTTCGTGGTCTTCATTACTGAAGGTCGTGTCCGTCCTGAAAAATTTTCAGTGAATCGGCGACGAGCTGCTTCCACAGCACTCTATCTTCGGCTTTCTTCAAGGCAGTGGAAACAGGAAGCCCGGTTATAAGCTTCACTTGATCAGAGATTTGATAAGCAGCTCTTTAACTCTAGTCCAGTTTGTATCTATGTCCACGTTTTCATCTAGCTTAAAGTTTTCAGAATTATTAATGAAACACTCCTTGAAAACAGCAAGCTGTCGTTCTGAACGTCGAACTTGGCGTTTCACTGAGTTTCTTAAACACCTTTTGAATTTTATACACATTTCTGAGACCAAGAGCTTGTGGTCACTCCCGCAGTCAGCTCCAGGATACGTTTTGGTGTTGCTGATACAGGATCTCCATCGGTTTGAAACAGTAATATAGTCGATTTGGTTTCTAAAACGATCACCTGGCATCATCCACGTATACAAGCGTCTGAGATGGTTCTGGAAGCAGGTATTCATTATAGTGAGGGAGTTTTCAGCACAAAATTGCAGCCATACTTCGCCTCTCTCATTCCTTTGTCCTAGTCCATACTTTCCCACCACTTCTCTTAGATGATTATCGTGAAGTGTTGATCCGACTTTTGCATTAGAACTGCTTCCCATCAGAACCGTAATATCTCTTCTAGGCAGCGTTTAATAGTGTCCTCCAACAATTTGTAAAAATCCTCGCATTCAGCTTCCGAAGACTGTGAAGTCGGTGCATAAACTACGACTAGGTTCACACGACATGGTTTTGTGTTTAATCTCATAGTCATTATGCGGTCGCTCATTGGGTTATACCCGAGTACTGACTTGTTAATAAGTTGAGACAAACAAATACCAACACCATTTTTACTTTTATTGTCAGTCCCAGAAAAGTAAAGAGTGTGGCCTGTGAGTAGGTGTTGTATAGAAACCGGATCCTCTCATGTGTGTTTCTGTAATGCCCAGAATCTCCACATTATAACATTTCTGCTCCCTTCCTATAATTTCCACTTTCCCTGGTTGAAGCATGCCTCGTACATTCCATGTCGCAATTCTGATTTTCTTGCGAAGTTGCGGGCGGTTCTTATTATTCTGTACGTTGTTAATAACACCAGTAGCATCCTGTACGCACCGAGCCTGATGTGTCACTTCAGTGGACCCAGTAGCATACTTCACACCATGCGGCCATCAGTTATAGATTTTTTTATTTAATTTTTATCTTAAATCCCGACTTTGGACCCTGCGAGTGCTTCGAAGCGTCGGGAATTAAAATAAAAATTAATTTAAAAAACATCCTAAAATGATTTTTACCTGTGCAGTAATTGCCTAAATCAAAGAAATCAGTATCGCTACATAGTATAAAACAAAGTCGCCCCGCTGTCTGTATGGCCCTATTTCTGCTTAGATCTTTAAAACTACGCATCGGATCTTGGTGCGTTTTGTTTTAACTAGATAGAGTGATTCAAGAGGAAGGTTTATATGTATAATACATTGGACCTGTGCGAAGCCGGGGCGCTAGTTTTTATATAAAAACTTCGATATTTGTTAATGGGGCTAGTACATCTATACAGCGTGTCGTTACAACCGCGACAATAAATGAACTCACGTCTAACACTACTTGCCAATAATCATAAAAAATATATAAAAAAATATATTTTTCAAACAAACTAATTAAATAAAAAAGAAATAAAATTTGTAACATCCTATACATCTACAACTGACTGATTCAAACATTCAGACTTTTTCATTCGTTGCCACAGCGTCGCATTACAAGTCTCTCCTTCTAACAGTATGTTTTCTCTTTTAAATTCATTCAACCCATTTATATGCTTTATGACCTTTACAATGAACTTTACGTCACAGTTTTATACGTAAGGGTGTTCTTAAAATGTTTGTTTTGTAAAATTTAATAACTCGGTAAATATTGATCATCATGAATGTAAATGTTTCATACAATTTTAAAAAGTTATTCTCTATTGTTCATTTATTGTCGCGGTTGTAACGACACGCTGTATTAGTAGCTCCGTAAACGTTCAATGCGCCCGGGCAAAAATTGCTCCGCAAGTTTAAAAAACAACTTCCTAATATCTGAAAAAAATCACTTCACATTTCGAGTAACTGCCTCCAAAACCAGAAGACCCTGGTAACAATCCTGCAGCGCCGCAAGTTTTTCTTCATCTAACTACAAAATTACATATGAAAGTTTTATCTTCAGTTCAGAGACTAGCACTAAAATTAAAATTTAAAGCATAGGCGACATCTCCCGTTGCAAATATTCATCGTTGAATGTTCTTTGTATAGTGTCGCATGCTGTACAGGATGCCCACTAGATGGCGTCTAGCATTGCTAAAAATGCAATAGAACGAACGTAGACAGATGTCGAGATTTTCACGCCGGCCGCTTAGCTTACTCGGTGAAGCGTCTGGACGCAAAACCGGAAAACGTAGGTTCGAATCCCGCAGCGCCAAAAGTTTTTGTTCATGTATGTACAAAAATGTACATTTAACAGTGAAAACCTCGTTCGCAACTGTACTCCAACGTGCAGTGCGAGCGAGAGCGAATACAATATTCACTGCGGTGCGAACGAGAGCGCAATGGTTTCCCTTCCTATAACGCCTATCCTATTCAGTGTATCAATGATTTGGACGAATGTCTCGCAGTTTTGTGAGCAGTTCTGTTTAGTTTATTACTTACTAGCGACCCGAATTAGCACTGGTACAATATATTATACATATAAACCTTCCTCTTAAATCAATATTTATTAAAGGAAACCGCGTCAAAGTCCATTGCGTAGTTTTAAAGATCTAAGCGTATGGACAGACAGACAGCGGGACGACTTTGTTTTATACCATGTAGTGATAGGTGAATGTATCAAGTGAGAATGGCATCCCGTTAATAGGACGTCGTTAGAGCGCCTCGACCTGTCCAACGAGGACCCTGAAGATTTGCGGAAGATGCTGAAACGCTCCGCGGAGTTCTGCTCGAGGTTCAACCGAATACATCTGTACCAGCTGCAGAGGCAGGTGCGATGTACATGTTGTCTTGGTGACTGTGCTAAAAAATTTATATCTGTGACAGATGACTATTTATTAAGAGGAGTAAGGTGATATCTGTGATAGGTCACTATTTATTAAGAGTAGGAGTAAGGTGATATCTGTGATAGGTGACTATTTATTAAGAGATACTATTTATTAAGAGATACTATTACTAGGTGATATTAGACGATAGAGGTGGTAGGGGTTATCCGAGGTAGGGCCACGCAACATTGTTCGCTGTTGCACGAATGGGCAGGCCCGTCCGGGTAAATACCACGACCTCACAGAAGACCGGCGTTAAGTGAAAGTGTTACACTTTTGGCGTTTCGTCTGATAAGTGACATAGCCGGGGCCCACTTTGGTTAAAGGTGGCGACGCATTCGCAACGGGTGTCGCGAATGTCCATGTGGGTGGCGGTTATCACTTGACGTCAGGTGAGCCTCCAGTCGTGTGCCAGTTTCTCACATGAAAAAATTAAAGAGGTAAACGAATGAAGAACGGAAACCCGGAGTGTGTCCCGTGACCATGAACGCTGTAAAGGGTTCGAAACGTCGGGAATTAAAATTAAAAAAATCTGTAAAACTAGTTATAATGTGTAATCACGTAAATACAAGAAACTATCAAAAACGGAAACGTCGAAAATCAAATGGACATTTTCATGCTGAACTCAGCTGAATATTTTGCACCAAATTATGAATATTAAGATGGCATTGGGGAAGGAAGGTTCTCGGGTGGCAGCCTCGTACTGGCCATAGCAGAATTGGACGACCACCACTAGATGGGTGACGACCTGTGCAAGTGTGCGGAGAGTGTAGATGCAGGTGGCCCAGGTGGCATAAGTTCAGCAGAGACTGAACAGGCTGAGATGATGGTGATGATGAATGGCAATAAAGACATTCATTTTTTCATTCGTAGCCGTGATTGAGGAAAAGAACGGAAGTAATATTGAACTGTTGTTTAAAGCGTTGGCCTAAATAAAAAAAAGTTGTTGAAGTTAACAGCGGTCGAGCCGCGCAGCAGCCTCGGCTGTTGCACGAACGGGCAGGCCCGTCCGGGTAAGTACCACGACCTCACAGAAGACCAGCGTAAAGTGGAAGTATGACAAATACTTTCGCGTTTCGTCTGGTGAGTGAGGTGACCGGAGCCCAATTTACAAAAAGGTTGTCAACGCATCTGCAAACCCTGGGGAGTAGCAGATGTCTATGGGCGGCGGTATTCACTTAACATCAGTAGAACCGTCTGCTCGTTTGGCAACTTTTCACATTAAAAAAAAAAACAAGTTGAAGACTCCGTGGCGCAGATGCCAAGGTATCGGCTTCGGCGTCGGGGGTCGTGGGTTTGATTCCCACACGAGACAACTGTTTGTGCGATCCACGGATAGTCGTTTCGCATCGTGTTTGTCCTCGTGCAATTTATGTTTGTAAAACGTCCTTACAACACAGGACAATGTTATCCTAAAGTGAGAGAAATGTTTTCGGCCTCATATTTTAGCGTCATTCATTGATTCATTTATTCACCCCCGGTTCTGCAGGTGAAGGACGCGGAGCGAGGCTGCGGTGTGTCCGGTGCTGCAGCGGCGGGCGGCGGGCGGCACACGCAGCTGCAGGCGCAGCTGCTGCGACTCACCTCGCTGCACCACAACGTGCTGCAGGCGCTCTGTGTCAGCTATTGTTTTCTATGTTTTGTTTAACTCTTCCTTACTCTATATCGGGGTTCATGTTAAGTGAATACCGCCGCCCATGGACATTCATACACCCTAGGGTTGCAGATGCGTTGACAACCTTTCGAAAATTGGGCTCCGGCTACCTCACTCACCAGACGAAACGCGAAAGTATTATACTTCCATACCCGGACGAGCCAGCCCATTCGTGCAACAGCCGATGATGCTTGGCCCTACCACAGTTAAAATTGTTGAATGTAATCTCGGTAGGAAACAATTTCTCAACCTATCTTTCTTCTATGCAGGAGTATTTTGATATCTGTCATGTTAAATATGATGACTTAGTTTAAAAAGGATTCGGTAACACCGTATTAGACTCTGGTTTTTCCCAAAAGTCTGGTCCGTAATATGATGAATTTGGTTGAGATTAATTTGACAACCCTATCTCCTTTACATATGATAGAGGCAATTGAACAACAATATCTCCTTTATTGGATATTTCTATCTTACTGAAATATTATATAGGCCATTGGACAACCCTATCGTCCTTAGACGCAATGAGGACCAACCCCTATCTTCTTCAGAAACAATACGGGCAAATTTTTTTAATGAAAGAAGGAAAAAAGAGCGGGTCACTTGATTGTAAGCGATCACCGCCATCTATGAACACTTGCAACATCGGAGGAGGCAATTGGACAACCCTATCATCCTCGCAAACGATTGGCCAAACCTATCTTCCTTAGGCACAATACAGCCAATTTGACAACTCTATCTCTCTTAGACTCAATACATTCATTTTGACAACCCCATCGTCTGTAGACACAATAGAGCCGATTGGACAACCCTATCTCCCTTAGAGACAATGCAGACAATTTGACAACCCTATCGTCCTTAGGCAAAATACAGTCAATTGGACAACCCGATCTCTGTTAAACACAATACAGCCAATTCGACAACCCTATACCACTCAGGCAGCCCATCTCCCCTAGATGGTGGGGGGGGCGGCGGGGGCGGGGCGTGACGTCACCGCGCTGCTGCGCGCCCTGCCCGCGCCCCAGCGCGCACAAGCGCTCTACGCAGACGTGGGTGGCCTCTGTCCTCTATTAGACTGAGACGTAGTTTGGCCGCGCTGGATTCGATTAGTTTACTTCATGTTTTCTCAGTAGACGCGTTGCCACCCTTTTATAAAGCGAGCCCCAGCTTTTTTTTTTATTGAACTGGCCAGCACTTGACTGCCATCCCACCTGATGGTAAGTGGTGATGCAGCGGTAAACCTATTCACTCTTGCCTTGAAAACGCCTACGTTGTAATCGGACGGAAAGACGGACGCCGGCAGGTCGTTCCAGCTTCTCACTCATCAGACGAAACGCAGAAGTATAACACTTTAGCTTCACGCCGGTTTTCTGTGAGGTCATAATACTTACCTGAACGGACCTGCCCATACGTGCAACAGGGAAGACTGTTGCGTGGTCTTACTACCGTACTAAGATCAAGGATTTCATGTAAAACAACGTTATGCTTGGTTTTGAAAGTTACTGTAATTCCGTTGGTATGATAGCTTCATCATCAATAATATCGACACACTACTTGCTTAGTTACAACCTGTTATTATTACTTGAATAATATACATATTTCCTCACTCCTTTTATCTCACCGAAAAGCAATAGGTAAATCAGCAGTCAAAATCGCAATATATTGAATTATCTTGAGTATTTTGAATTAAAAACAAGTATCCGCACACTCTTCGCGAATTGTTAGTTTCAACAAAGAAATTATATAATTGGACACCACGGGTGTACTATCCTACAATAGGAAGCTTTTCAGATTGAAAAGTCGTGACGATAACCTTACCCCACCAGGAGCTGCTGGCGACATGTGACAAGTTGGACGAGGCCTTGGAGCGGCACAGCGTGATGATGGCAGATGTGGTGCGCAGACTGGAGGAGCCAGATGTGAGTAGACAGTGGATGGTGAGCTGGCCACCATAACGTGACATCACTAAGATTTTATTATTATCAAGAGCAATAGTCAACGTTATATATTCAGATGTGTACATTGAATACAGAAACGCTTTATACTGAACACAGAAACGCAATCACACAAACGGGTTTATTAGTTTTTTTTTTTTTTTAATTATATTCCACTTGTTTATTTTAACGTGTGACAGTCTTCATTTGGCGGTCTACTTCCGTTTCCAGAAGAACCCATACGCGAAGCCGAGCCAGGCCAGAGGACAGAAGAGACCGTCTGCTTCCAGCAATAAGTCTCCCGCGAAAACCGGTAAATTCCCTTTGACTATATCCAAATGGTTGTTCAAATCTAGGTGATGATGAAAAACGGCAATTTGTACTTTCCTAGTGATTCTGTGGTAGTGAGGATGCTATCGCCATCATCAGCCGCAACACGTCCACTGTCGAACATAGGCCTCCCCCTTAGAACGCCACAACGGACGAAACTTTGCCATTTGCATCCACCGCTTGCAAGATTTGTTCGTGCAACAGCCAGGGCTGCTGCGTGGCCCTACCACAGCAAAAAGTGTAATAAATAAATGCGAAAAAACAATTTAGTTAAAATAAGCTGTCATTTACGTCGGCGCGGCAATGAACCGCTGAGCTTGGTGGTTAAAGCGTCTGGGCGCTGGAAGTGGCGGGTTCGATCCCCGCGGTGGCGTCACCTCTCCACCATTCTTTTGTACACAATTCAATAGACAGCACCTTTCTCATTTGCCATGCGGATGGCTTCCGTGTATGGAATCTGTATGGACGCTCCTCTTCCCCAGCGTCCAGGGCCGACGGCAGTCTGTCCATGTACTCGCTGGACACGCACCGGCTCAGCCTGAGGGGCAAGAGCTCCAGCGCTAGGGTCAACCAGGCCAGGTTTGTGACCACGTCTATGTGTCTCGGTGGTTAATTTGTCGTTTGCTTTCTCGAATACTGTGTTAGGTCTCGTAGAGGATTTCGAGTGATGGTGATGTTAGAAATTTCCATTACATCACAATTTGAACGTATACTTAAACGTTTTGTTTTTAATCTGCATGAATATTGTCTAAGTTTTCGTAGAAAGTATAGAGTTTAAAGTATTGAGGTTAGTTTAAAGTATAGAGTAACGGCATCTGTCTAGTTTTGGTTGTAGTTGTAGAGAGGCCAGCACGGTACGCTCTGATTGAGGTAATACACGCCAAGGCCCCATTTCGTGTCAAAATTTACATAAAAAAGAAACACTTTAAATACGTATTCATAATAAGATAATCGGTTCCTAGACGAGGGTGTGCAGCACTAGTTCTACACAATCGATACACGCGTCCCCTCCCTAGTTCGAATGAAATGTCATCGTTGGAGCGATGGCGCGAATTTGTACCAAAAAATAGTAACTTTTTTTTTTATTTGGGCATTCGTTTTCCTAAAACTGTGTGTAGTTTGTATGGTATGTATTTTGTGAATTGTTCAATTGTAGGACTTGATCATTATTTTACTTTAACGTCTTTATCCATACAGACTATTCATTATACAGAAGTCTGTACTAGTTAATTTCGGACTGTGAACTAGTTCATTCTATTAATTCTATTAGCTCTTTTCGGTCTCCGGTTTTGTTCGGTGTATCTACAAGAAATATTATTGTGTAGTCGGTATTTAAAACAGGTAAATTGTTCAAACCCTCCACTATATTTTAGCTATATTAATCTTAGCCATGTTTGACTTGTTTTCAGTATAACACTTGTACTTATTACATAGACATTAGACAAGAGTCTGCCGCCGTTTGTTTTTCTTTTTTCTTCTCATTTTCTAGTCCCAAACTAAGCAATGCTTGTACTATGGGTACCAGAAAATTGATAGACATACTTAAATATACTTTTCTTTTGTAAATAAACACACATTATACATATATAAACACGCAGACACTAGAAAAACACTACGCTCATCACACAATATTTTTCCAGTAGTGGATCGAACCCACACCCTCTGGCGCAGAAGGCCTTTCGGGTCGCCTTTTTTGCTGATAACGACTAGTAAGTCGTTATCGCATTGGTATACAGCACAAATCTCCACTAACCGTCATCTTTTCCCCAACGAACAGCGGAACCTTGAAGGCGCGTGGCAGCGCGGGAAGGGCGCCCAAGAAACTCGCCACGCCCAAAAGCCAAACGAAGTCGCCGGTGTGAGTTTATCCCATTTACTTTGATAAGTTCTTTCTAACTACAAATAATTTTAAAGTAAAGTAAAATAACAGCCTATATAAGTCACTAAGTGCTGGGCAAAGAGCTTATAGTAGGCATAGTCCACCAAGCAACCCCACTGCGGATTGGCGGACTTCACATATCTTCGGAGTATATTTATAATTTGTTATATTGTTTCTATTTAAAAAAATATATTATTTTGATAATAATACTTAATATGTAATTATTGCACGAGTTTTTTTATGGAAACGTTCAGTTTATTCCAAGAGTTACAAGATATTTGACGACCCGATTGGCTTAGTGGATCCTGCCTCCTGCGCCAGTGGGTGTGGGTTCGATCCCCACTACTGGAAAATATTGTGTGACGAACCTAGTGTTTTTCTAGTGCCCGCTATTTATATGTTAAACAATTATTTATTTACATAATAAAAATATATTTATCAGTTATCTAGTATCCATAATACAAGCGATGCTTAGTTTGTTAAAAATGTGCCGTGAAATATTTATTTATTAATATAATTGTTTGCGCTGACTAACTGTGGTCTAACATTAGCATACAAGTGGTCCCTTGTCCGCAGGAGGAGGCGAGGGCGTCGCGACGCCGAAGTGCCCACGCTGGTTCAGACGGTGGCAACGGTGCGTGCCACATTTGCCACATTTACCACGCCAAACACAATTGCCACACTCTGCAACTTCCACGTTCGGAGATTTGCCGATTTCCCCACAATCGCAATTGCTTTTCAGACTTTTCGACTGTATTCTCACACGCACTAATGCTTAAGGGTCGCTGCCTTGTCTAAATTTATTTATAACGATAGTTAAAACATGTAGAAAAAGTACGAAAAGATTGTCGCCGCTGTGGGAATCGAACCTACGAAAAGAAAAGTATGTTTAAGTATGTTCATCAGTTTTCTAGTACCCATAGTACAAGCGTTGCCTAGTTTGGGACTAGAAAATGTTGTGTAAAAATGTGTTCTAAAGTATTTATTTAATATTATTATTACTTTATTAGATTCGTAAGGGAGCTGAGATATGCATTCGTCGCGGACGTGATGGCACCGCCTTTCCCTTGACCTTCTCGCCGCTTCGAGTGTGTCCTCTCTTTCCCACCGCGCCCTTTGTATATGAAATTTCCATACATGGTCTCCTAATTATGAAAAGAGGTGTCGTTTCCAGTGCGCGTCCAGCCGAACGAGCCTGGCGAGAGCCGCGCCGAACAGCGGCAGGGGGGAGGCGCGGCCAACACTGGCCAAGGGCCGGTCGCCGGAAGCCTCCAGGAGGAGCAGCGGCACCTGCAGCCCCAGGTCGCCGACGGCAAAGGGGAACGGCGGGAGAAGCGGCCCTCCCCCCACCGGGCGGTCGCCGACGGTCACCACTGTCGAGAAGCGCTCGCACCGCACTCCCACCACGGTGAGTGCTCGCAATTTAATGTACGAATGGTGCGGGAGAGTATCTCCTTCTCACTCGCGCCGCCAAGTGGGAACGGGACGGCGAAAGCGTTGGCTATCCGCGTCCCGCCCCCGCCACACGTAGACGTACAGTCGCGTCCAGTGTTGCTGTTACGTCTCGTGGAAGCGGACCTGAAAGTTTCATATCCAGAACTATCTCATGTGCTGCATTTATGCTATTGACATTAATTTTGAGTGACAAGTGACACAAACATTATGTTGTAATTGCCCTTTTTATTTCGTTTTTTTTTTATTTTATTTTCATTATGATTTCAATAGTTTCGTGTAGCTATTAATATCCTTTTCTGCAAATTATCTCGTTAATGTTTCATAATATACGCTTCAATATTTTTTTTATATATCAGTTAAAATATATAAATTATTTAAAGACTTTGCTTGAGATGATTCGAACACGTATTGCCGACAAATTAAGCATGCATCACCATTTCCAAAACTCGCCGTCTAGTATCGATCGCTAGTAAAATGAAACAACGTTTAAAAAACAAAAAAAGAGTGCTTTATTGAAAACGCAAGTCTTCCGGGAGGCGTAAAAAAGAACTATCGAGCACGCACCTACCGTCAATTATTAACGACTAATTGTTTTATTTACAAAGAAAATGTCTTTGAGAAGCGAAAACTTCTTATTTCTCGTTCACAAGAAAACATTCATTGAACTTAAATTATTTTAATTAACATGAAATTGTTTTGGGGTTGGTGCAAACCTGAGTAACGATAATCGTAGACTTGGACTTTGCATATAATTTTTAATGAATCGAGAGAAAGAGCGAGAGGGTGGGAGAGAGCAGCAAGTCTGCAAAGGTTTGCACCAAAGAGTCGATCGAGCAACGAATACATCGTGAAACCTCAGAAGTAGGCTGTAAATAGTGCATAAAGGCCCATTTACACGATGCCATTTTCTTGTACATGCAAGAGCAATAATTGAATGCAATAAATTGCGCGCAATAATTGGTTAGACCATTTGTTATTTAGACCATGCAACTTATTTATTGCTTCAATTTAATTGTATACAACAGGCAAGAAACTGGCACCGTGTAAATGGGCCTTTACGATATAAACGATTATAAATTGTCAACATTGCGACGTGTAATTGTCTCGACGAAATAAAGAACATTTAAAGTGGCACACACTTGCGTCATATAAGAATGGTAGCGTTTCCGTGTCCGACATTAGTATTAGGTGCCTTTAATAAATAGACGTCGGCGGACCAACGATGGGTTTTTGTGTGTTTGGACTTTATGCGCATTTCCCACACAGCGGCTTGTTGTCCATCACCGAGAATGTCGAGTCTGTGACGGGGTTGCTGCATTTCTGTAATAATAATGCGAATAATGATTAATATGTACGACCAATATGGGAAAGCAGTTATTATAATGACATCCATATTGGAAGAGATAACGTACAATGTGTGTGTGTGTGTGCGCTTGCACGTGCGTTTGTGTGCGTATATTATCATATAATATATATGTAGTAGCTGACCCGGCAAACGTTGTTTTGGCATATAAATTATTTGTAGGGTAGAAAAAAATGTTTGGGGTGGACCACCCTTAACATTTAGGGGGATGAAAAATAGATCCTGTCCGATTCTCCACCCTGGTCGATATGCACTCACAATTTCACAAAAATCGGTCTAGCCGTTTCGGAGGAGTTCAATTACAAACACCGTGACACGAAAATTTTATATATTAGATGTTTATATATTAGATGATGAATTATAGTAGCCCCTGGAAGTTTATGAATCGCCGATCTCAAGTAAATAGGTTGGATTTAATGTAATTTCTACGATAAACTTTTCACATACACCAAAAAAGGCTCGAAACAAATTGTAATTAAAATGGGCGCCGATGTAATGAGCAACAAGTTTTTTTTTGGCGTTAGTTATCGTGTATAAACACTCGCGTATGCCAATATCTCTCCAGTACTTGACGAATATTGCACAGCGGCCTTTGGAGATAGACAATCAGCTAGTTTCGGTTTCGTAGAGCGCTATCTCTGTTGCACACTTGTTATCTCTGTCTCTTTCTTACGTCCTAAACAGCTTTCTTTTTCCAAAGGCCAATTTTTATCGCCGGGTACTATAAGTATGTGAACACATAGGGCTGTCAACGGTCCTTGCCTCTGCATACGTCGATACAACAATATATACACATACTGTTCATCATTCTTCCCTCTTGGGTATAGTCTATAGAGGATAGTCTTATACAGTTTTAACTGGTGTAGGGCCATGCAACAGTCTTCTCTGTTGCAAGATCGACGTGAGGTGCAAGTGTTATACATTTGCGTTTATTCTGGTGTGTGTGGTAGCCGGGGCCCACTTTATTAAAAGGTTGCAACGTATCTGCAACATGACCTTCGGGTGTTGCAAATGTTAACGGGCGGCGGTTATCACTTAACTTCCAATGAACCGCCAGCTCGTTTGCCACCTTCTCACATGAGAGAAATATGTGCTTATGTAATGAGGAATGAAAAACCGTATACTTTCTAGGCGGTTCTTCTGTATACAGGTCTAGTTTAGTGAACCGGTGGTGGTTTGACGTTCAATGAGAGCTTCAAATAACCCTAGGCTATATCACGAAATTTCGATGTTGAGTTGAGTCAATCGTTTGATGACTCCGTGGCGCAGTTGCTAAGGTATCGGCTTCGGCGTTGGGGGCATGGGTTCGATTCCCACACGGAACAGCTGTTTGTGTGACCCGAAAATAGTTGTTTTGCATCTGGGTGTTTGTCTTCGTGCAATTTACGTTTGTAAGACGTCCATACAAACAGGATAATGTTATTCCAAAGTGAGGGCAATGGTTTTTAAAAGAGAAATAAAGAAAAACAATCGTCTCCCGGGGTTTGGTAGCGGTGTGTGGTGGGTTCACCTTGCAAGTGAAGCATCCGCCGTGCCACTTGGCGTCGAGCGCGATGATGGCCTTGTCCACGATGGGCTTGGCGCAGCCGGCGCATCTCGCGGCGAACTTGTCGGCGTAGCACGCCGAGCAGTACGGCCGACCGGCCTGCGCAGACATACATTCGTCTTGAAGAGCTTTCAAAATATGCAAATTTTATATAAGTCATTGTAATATCTCTCACAACAATCCAGAAAAACTTACGCCAGTGTGTTAGGTTAGGGCAATATAAAGCGGCAACTTGGAAGTACCACGAGCTCACAGAAGACCGGCGTGAATTGGAATTGTTGTACTTCAGCGTTTCGTCTGGCCCACCTCATGCAAAAGGCGGCAGCGCATCTGCAACCCCACGGGTGTAGCAAATGTCCAGGGGCGGCTGTCACCTAACATCAGGTGAATCACCGGCTCGCTTGCCGCTTTCTCACAAAAGAAAAAAAAAGTCCTCCATCTCAAACCTGTTCCATGAAGCCTCCGCCGCCCAGCTCCTTCCTGCAGCCGCCGCAGACGAAGTGGTGCGAGTGCCACGACACGCCCAGCGCCTGGATCACCCGCTGCAAGGCCAACCAACATGTTGGTGAACATCGATGGTTGACTACCGAGATGTCTATACAACTAACTGTACTAAAAAAGACGACGCATGTCCACACTGCGCGGCGTTTGACAATTGTTCCGCTTTACATTACATGACATATATAAGTGAATGTGACAAACGAAGATGACGAAAAGATGATATGGAACGTATGATACAGAAAGAGATAGCGGACTAATAAATTACAACGATTTTAGTGCCTCAGTTTCGCCGCGATAGTATTATATCTACCTCGTACATGTATATAATATCATTGAGAGTAGCCACGTTGTCCGCGCTCCTTTCCTTCGCACCCTTAGTTATTACGGCACTCTATCACAGTGTGGCCAATTCGGCCGTTATATGCTCTTCTAGGGGTGCCATCAACCCCCCTTGATGTTAATAGCGGTAATGACAGACTTCATCACCGGTAACTAGTCGCACGTGTTTGTTGTGAATAAATAATGGAGTGTTCATGGATTCCCTGGAGGTAACAGCGCTAGCCAAATAGGGTTCTACGCTCTTCCTCTTTGAATAAACCAACATTGTTATGTTTCGGGTAACCCGATTGGCGTGATTGGCTCACGGGAGTAGTGAAACACTGCTGAAAAAATATTGTGTGATGAAGCACACAGTGCTTTTCATTTCATTCTATACAGGTATAATATGGTGCTTATGTATAAATATAATATGAACCTATTTATATATGTTTAATATCTTTATTTATAGGTATAATATGTATTTATTAACAAAAGAAAAGTATGTTAATCAGTTTTCTAGTACCCATAGTAGGTACTAACGTTGTTTGGCACTATAAAACGTTGTGTAAAAATATTTATTTGTGAAACGTAACCTTCTACAGTAACACATCGTTTTCTAAATCTAATAACACTGTTTACCCACAACTAACTATACCTAAGACTGTTAAAAAGTTTCAGTCGATATGATAAATGTAGTACCCATTATAATTTATATTATCGTTTCATGCTTTAATTACTTGCGCGAATACCTAAAGATTGTCAAATGAAACTTTATTAGATAAAGCTCTTTTCTAATAAATTAAAAACTATTATAAATACTAGCTGCTGCCCGCGACTACGTCTGCGTAGAGGGGTGAAAATTTAGGGTTGTATGTATTTTTGTATGCTGTGTCATAAAAAAATAGAAACAAAAAGTTTTATATAAAAAATAAAAAATAAATTTTGGGGTGGACTACCCCCTTAACATTTAGGGGGACGAAAAATAGATAGTAGCCGATTCTCAGACCTACTAAATACGCATATAAAATTTGGTAAAAATCGGTCGAGCCGTTTCGGAGGAGTTCAAGTTCGAACCCCGTGACAATTTTATATATTAGATGATAGTTTTTTAACTTGCCAAATGTATATCCATTATACGAATGCTCGTCAAAAGTGTCTTTGGCGCCTTAATGGGTCGTTTATTTGGGCATGCGTCGCCCGACCGCATGCGGTTACATCATCGAAAGCTGTGTGAATGATTAAAAGCTTGTTATGTCGCCCAACGTTACGAGTAGACATCACGTCCGTTTTTAAACTAACGCAAAAATAGAACCGGCCACTGGCACCTCTCGGTTTTAAACGGATTCCGGATAAGGTTCGTCTTCAGAGTCGTGAATAAACGGAGATGCCGAAAGAGTCTAAGCAAATATCGCTCATTTTGTTTTATCATTGAGTTTCATTTTATTTTTTGAAATAAAATAGAAATAAGTAAAATATGAATAATTAAACTTTCGTTTTCAAAACTTCTTATAAATGACATCTATTGACAATTTGTTTAAATGAAAGATAGAGAATTAGACTGAATTCTACCAATATTGTATAACTTATTTATTTTATTTGTTTATTTATTCTATATTGAAAACACCTCACAAAGGGTTACATACCCCTACCATATTAATTGAATAATTGGGTGAATTGTAAACTTAAATTTACCGTAAATTGGCACTAACCATGGGAGCACGGAAAATTTATGTATATTATATATGTCATTCACGAAACGGTAACACATTAATGTACACATAAGTATTTATAAATAAATGTAGAGATTATCATCTAATACTCTTCAGATTAATACTTTATAATATTCTCACCAAATTTCAATGAAACGCATCTGGCCTCTTTGGTAGGGGAAGAACTTTAATTACTTTTCGTATTTGAACGTTACTTTTCATACATTTAACGGCAAGGACTTGTCCCGCAATCAGCAGAGAGCTGGTGTACCCAAGATACACAGATAGACTTATCACGGGCGCACGGATGAGTAGACGTCGATTTTTTTTCTTCACAAACAAATGATGTCACCGCGCAAAGACAATGGTGGCTTTGTTCCAACGCGGCGTCTCCCCTTAGACTAATTGACACACACTGTGTTGCTGTTTTATAAACAATTTAACTTTGGACGAGCCGCGCAACAGTATTCACTGTGGCACGAATGGACAAGTCCGTCCGGGTAGGTACCACGACCTAACAGAAGACCGGCATGAAGTTGAAGTATTAGTACTTGTGCGTTTCTTCTGGTGGGTGAGGTAGCCGGGGTCACTTTATTAAAAGGTGGCAACGCATCTGCAACCCTAAGGGTGTTGCAAATGTGCGGTGCGGTGTTGCCATGGGCGGCGGTTATCACTTAACATAAGGTGGACCGACAGCTCGCTTGCCACTTTCTCACTTTAAAAAAGTGGTTCCTTGTTGCCTACATGTGTGGGATCTAGGGAAGCAGAAACTTCCCTGGAACAACGGCTTAGACCAGTAGGGCTCTGATGCGTACCGCAGTCCTAGAATCCGTCGTGAAGTCATGTAGGAAGCTATGGTGATTCTAGTAGGATGGCCATACACCGTTTTCTGATGAGAAGGCTGGCTATCTTTGGAACTTGCGATGAAAGTAGACGCTTCATTCAATCGATTAACTGACCAGGTATGATTTATTGCCTCAGCAATGACAATAGTGTCTCCGACTCGAATCTGTACTAATTCGGGAGAATTTTGATAACCGAGCCATATTTTATTGGGATAAACTTACTTGGTTCATCAATAATATCTGATCGGGAAATGAATCCGCACCTTGCGTGCACTCCCCAACGCCCTTCGCGACTTTAAATACATCGGCAGCGGTTGTATTACGCAAAGCAGATAATGTTATTCCGATCAATTCACCTTCTACGGTCGCGGTCCTGCCATTTACGGTTACGCTATGTATGAATCATTCGACGCCGTGCTTAAAAACACGTACGTAAAACAACAATTTGATTGCCACTAATTAATTGTCATTAATTTCATTTTAATACACGGTTTTTTTGTTTATTTTAATAGCGGCTTTACCGCGCATTCCTATTATTGAATAGTTGCTGGTTCTTAACACTGTCATAATGCTGTATTAAAATCGACCAAGGTTTCGAATTGTACTTAGCCACCAGTCGTGTCTTTTGTTGAGTCGTGGGTTCGATTCCCACACGGGACAAGTATCTGTATGACAGTGAGATAAAACTATTTGTTCTCAAGGAGGGTGGACGTGAGACGTAATAAGCCTTACGAAATAAAGAATAAGAATAAGGCCAGCCGAATAATAAACAATACTATTATTAAATGAACGTTTCGAATAATGACGAAGATTTACAACGATTACTTCCCTTGCGTCTTTCCAAAGCGAAGGTATCATTCTTTCGTCATCTTTATCAGAGATAGTCTCGTAGACACAGAAATAGACTCGCAGACACCAGAAGGTGTCTGCTGCTGTTCGTTTTCGATACGTACTCTTCCCGCCCCACTAGTGGAGAACTTCTCGCGTCAGAAGACCCTCAGGATACTCGCGACGCTATCCTAGTCATTTGCCCTTTGGATCTGTTGTTCAGATGTAAGTTTCTCGAAATCGAGACACGCCTTCGCGTCGGACGCGTGGGCGTCCGTGATTCACGTCGCTGTGACCGTCCTATGAGTCAACGGCACCGTGCTAGATCCATGCTGGAAGTGCGTACGACTGCCCTTGTGGATTTTGGCAGGTGGCAAACGGGCAGCACGGGTGCATTACACTCTTACATTTAGGAATTCCTCTGCTGTTGCACTAATGGTCACTCTCGTGGGTAATAACAACAATCTCACAGAAGACCGGCGTTAAATGGAAATATTATACTTTCGCTTTTCGTCTGCTTAGTGAGTAAAGTGGAGCAAATTTTTTAGGTTAGCAACGCCTGTTCGACCTCTCAAGTTTGTATTCAAGATCAGGTGAATGGCTTGCTCTCTCGCCAAATTTTCACAAAAGAGAAAATGTTTTTTCGAATCGAGCAGTTTTGCTGGCACGTCTGGTGATGTCTTAAAATAGATAAACATTCGTACGTTGCTTAGTACAGATCACTTGGTCGGATCATTTAATTTCTACATCTATCTTCCTTTCGATTTACATCCTTAGCTTCATTGCTAACACTGCTGTCGCGTAAAGCTTTAAATATATGATCTGTTTCTAAACGTAGTTTATACAGTTCTGTTATGCTTAGTATGCGCATAGCGTTTAATTAAATGTATCTCTGCCATCAACATTAGCAATTTATAGCCTGCCGCCGGCATCTTCCCTTCCTCGACCATATTTATTTATACACGATATTCAAATGGAAAGCGACACGCGAACAGCATCGATTTAGCGAATTATTGCCGATGATTAATTTTAATAAAAGCACATCAAAGAAGTTTTCATAGAAAACTGTATTGGCCAGAGAAGGATATGTAAATAGTGGGAACTTTGATCGCTTTTCTGTTGCTTTGACCCCGGGATCTCCTATGGAACCCACCGGTGACCCTCGGTACTGGGCGTGAGCACGCCTCGGGGAAGGGTCAACCTTCCCCAATTCCCTCGCCGTCTTGCAGCAGCTCGAGGCCACTTCGAGCTGCTGCCAATCCGTGTCCCCTTTTTAGTTGCCTGTTACGACAGGCAGGAGATACCTTAGTCCTATTCTATGAGAACGTAACTACAGGGCTGCCTACCGCAGGCATTGGAGTTGTCCAAGGGGGTCGTTAACATTAAAATCTGGTGATGCATATTTATTAACTCTTTAGTTACGTAGTTATGCGAATTTTATATTCACCGGATTAGGTATCGTCAGGCCTTCCGTGAACAAAGCTCAGTCTTTTATTTTTAGGTCCTCAAAGTGGAATCAGTTTCTAGCTACGCTACTACACTAACTACTACTAGCTTCGTTTAGCTACTTTTAATATAGCATTGAGTCGAAATTGAGCTGCTTCAGAGTTCAGAAACGGTACGAAGGTATGAATATTACAAAGCTCACAAAATTTTTCTCTTTTTCACCTAAAAAAATGTGTCAAATCTAGACTATTTCGCTAACAAACAAGTGTTTATTGGATCTCATAAGAGTATTTAAAATCAGGCAGATGTCAACGTATTATAAACACATGTGCTGTTCAGATAAATGTAATTATGAACAACTGACTACGTCTTTACGACAACTTTGTATATTCGTTAATAGCAATTTTAGGTCGATTTTCTTCAAGTGAAATACGCTTTTTGAAAGAAGTTAATGGAATGAATGTATGTTTTACCACTCAGAGACAGAAATTGAAAGGCACGTCTTATCGATAAATCTATACATCAATACAGATAAATAAAATTGGAATGTCTGTTTGTAATATTCAAACAACCGCTTTTTACTAAATGCATATGGATTTATATACGGTACGTAATTGTAGCACAATATTTTTTTTTACAAATTTTTGTCTGTCTGTCTACCTGGTTGTTTCGGTTAGTCTCTAAAACGGCTGGATCGATTTTCACGGGACTTTCACTGACAATTAGCTGATGTAATAAAGCGTAACTTAGGCTACTTTTACTTTAGAAATTCTATTTATTATTTTTAATATATATAGTATAATTCCAAGCAGACGAAGTTGCGGGCACAGCAAGTTTAGACCTAAAATCGACATGTCGCGATAGTCTGTAGGTTCAAATACGTGACAGACAGTGTTTATTTATGGATATAATTGGTGACGGTACTTCATTCGAACCCACGAAACTAGAATCCATTCTTCCAAGCCACTACGCCAACACGACCTTACCAATTACGTGTTCGTTCCTATTGGAAATGTATATATTGTCCGCGGTCAAGTTTATGACACCGTAATTTTATGCAGTTACGATGGAGGGGCGTGGGCCGCGCGGAGATACATTTTATAGCCCTTACAAGGTGCTTCTTGTTATACGACCGATGCGTCATCTGTTGTCAATGATTTTTGCGTCATTCTCTCGTATTTATAACGATCCGAAAGGAACGTTCCGTGTTTTGAATACGCATGTTGAATTTATCGATTCCTTTTTTTGGGTGTACTTGCGCTTGGCGTGATGACTATTTATTACAGAACATTGCGTCCCATGAAGGATTGGTGACGTATCAGACGCCCTTAAACTTCAATACATTGTAATGTAAAATTGTAAATTGTAAGTAATTATATTTACGCGAGCATTGGTTTCTCTTCGTCTTCCTATCTATCATGTCGGCTTTCTCTCTACTCCCCTTCTTTCTCTGCCTCTCTTTATAGGAATGTTTTTTGTTTTTTTTATGTGATAGTTTCAAACGAGCTGGCGGGTCACCTGATGCTGTGTGTGATGACCGCCGCCATGGACTTTTGCAACACGCCGATATTCTGTGTGGTCGTGGTTCTTATCCGGACGGACCTGCCCATTTGTGCAACGGTGAACACTGTTGCGCGGCCCTACCACAGTAAAATTTCATTCAAAACTCGACATCGGCTGTTAGCACAGTCTCCACGACTGAACTCATAGTCCACCTAGCGGTCGAGTCTGCGGAGGTCACCCAAGGTCGTACTCACGTCGGTGATGGGGTCGCCGCAGCCGTGGCAGCGCGGGCTGTAGTGCTTGGCGTAGCAGGTGACGCAGTGGACGCCGCCATCGTGCTGGTGGAACTTGGAGCCGTCTATCGGCTTCCGGCAGGTGTGGCACGCGAAGTGCTCCGGGTGCCACTTCTTGTTCAGCGCCGTCACGATCTGCGGAGAGTTGTCCACATCAAATCAAACAATTTATTCATCGAAAAAAGGAAATATACATTTTATCTATCGATGGTCACTTTTCAAATCTACCGCTGTTTCGTAATGATTCCTCTAACGGAGAAGAAACAGGCGAAAGAAACTCCGTATAATGATCTTGATTAGTTTATCGTCACCATCGAGCCGTGATGACTCAGTGTCCTCTCGCTTTTGATTCGATACACTGTAGCGACCAGAGTTCGAGTTTGGCCACACCAATGAAGTTGTCAGTTTTATGTGCTGACTTATCACGGGCTCAGCGGTGAAGGAAAACATCGCGAAACCTGCATTCTTTCTAAATAATAACAAATATATGTATATATATTTCGGAGGGGTCTACCAATCCGCAATGGGGTCGCGGTGGACTATGGCATAATACCCTCTGTACAGAGGAGGCCATTGACAGCAGTGGGAAATGTATAGGCTGTTACTTTTATTCTCCTTTTGTTAGCTAAAGAAGTATAAATTATTACGTGCGTGCATAATTACAACAGCACATGCAGTTTTTTTTTATTGTACAAGTTCAAACATAACATATACATAAATTTTTCAGGGCAATGCCACTTCTACCACTGTATTGTCTCTTATCCTTCATAAGAATAAATATCATTCACCGTCCTATCGACCTTGAATTAGCTACCTAAGCCTTATTATTTAATAGCATTGTAAATCGTATCGGCGATGTTGCGTTCTTATCGCAAATATATCTCGAAGCTTCGGAGTTGTACACCCGACGACACGGGTACGGTCGTCGCGGATTCTAGGCGTGGTCGAATTATACTACTAACTAGCGATCATGTCATTGTTGCACTTTACAGCGCAACCTTTTCTCTTCACTTCTCTCCTACTCTATTTAAATGGAAATCTTATTCCTTATGTGCAGTGTTAACAGTGAATTTGTATGCCGTATTTTGTTACTAAGTGCCTGGTTGTCACTAAATATCTTGATTAGGTCATGCTCAAGGTGTTTATTTATTGAGAGTCCTACGCTTTACAGCTGCATACAAGATAAATCCTCGATAAACATTATTTTATCAATCGATGACGTAATTGTACTGGAGATATATTTTCACTTATCTATGCACCAGCTTGCGTGAGAATTTTTACCTCTAGTAGTACATAAGTACTTGCTTCGAAACAAATGTTTTGTTGTCCCCTTAATGAGTTCACAAAGCCAGCATTGTATATTATTTGTTTTTACTAAAGATTATAAAATTAAACATGTCGCGTTTATTTTTGAATTTTATTTCCCGACAATTTTATGTCGTATTAACTCCATAATTTGAGTTAATACGAGGCTACAGAGGCTTCTGAAAATTATTTTGAAACAATTACATAACAGTTGCGAACGCTTGACAAACTTACGTTAAATACATTGCTATGGATTACAAATAGTGAATAACAAATCTAATGGACCGCAGCCAGCGCAGTCGCAACCAATATATTAATCATTGGAAGTTTATGTGGCGTCCTTCGTTAAGATTCCGATTAACAATTGTATATAGGTCAGCCAGGTTGACCCTCGCCCTGCTCTCTGTCAATTCCCATATCACAGCGACGCACTTCAATTAAAAGGATGGAACTCACGAAGATGTCAAGAGTCAACCACGGCGTTTCATTTGGATTATTATATACAAGCTATGATCGCTTTAGTGGGATGGAATCATAATGAAGAAAAGCGAATTAAATGAAATCTGTAGAAAAATGGATGAAATGTTTCTCAATCGTTGTGACTTGCGAGGATTTGAACTCGCCCTCTAGCCATAACCACTCAGCTAAACGGCTTATCGTCACATCGTCGAAATTCCCAACGAATTGTTTTACTGTATTTTTGTCATCTAGTGTGTTTCTTCATCTAGTATGTTCGTGGTCTGTTAATGACCTTATTTATATGACCTTGATGGTGTCCTTCTATATAGAGGGCTCATTTGAATACGAAAGATTCACCGGTATATGTAACAATGAATATCTTTCGGCGGAGTAAGTCGATCGAAATAATTTTGCGTCAAATCTTTATAAACTATTACTTTAAAATGCTTTCCCGCTATAGCGATATTTTTACGATTACGATTTAGATAAGGCTTTTTTTATGTGAAAGTTTGCTTAACGAGCAGACGAGGTTCACCTGATGTTAACTGAATACCGCCACCCATGGACATCTGCTACACCCGAGGGTTCCAGATGCGTTGACAACCTTTTGGAGATTGGGTTCCGGCTTCCTCGCTCACCAGACGAAACGCGAAAGTATTTGTCATACTTCCACTTTACGCCGGTCTTCTGTGAGGTCGTGGTACTTACCCGGACGAGCCTGCCCATTCGTGCAACGGCCGGGCTGCTGCGTGGCTCTACCACCGTAGCTAGTGATTAAAGTAAAGTAACAGCACATATATAAGTCTAATGCTACTCGATAAGGAACTCGGGTGCTTAGCCAACGTTATTGTGGACACGCATCAGTCGTAAGCTTTATAAAGCTGCGTCGCCTTTGCAGTGCGCGTCCCGCCGCTTCCGCACACCTGCGAACTAGTGACGTCACGCCGGTGACGTCATGCACCCAAACTTGTCACGTGCTGTCCTCGTGTATTTCTGATACCTTGGTGCATCAGCCGTGACTGTTTTCAAAGACCCACAGCGACCATATCTTTCGAGAATCGTTAGTGCGCTTTTCGGCTAAACTTCGGCTGTTGCACGAATGGGCAGGCTCGATCGGAGAAGCACCACCGCTTCGGATAGGACCAGTGTGACGTGGAAGTATTATTCTTTCTCTTTTTGTCTGGTGAGTTAGGTATCCGGGGGCCTTTTTTTAATTTTGGCAACGTATCCGGTATCCCATTGGATATTGTTGAGGTCGTGGGCGGCGATAATCATTTAGCATCAGGTGAACCGCCTGACCGTTTGCCAAACTTAAACATAAAAAAGGCATTAAAGGTGTAAATTTATGTTGTCGGTTTTTTTTTATCTGAACAGTCTCAAATAGTTTTCAGCGTTACAAAATTAAATATCACGTTTTGACTGTTTATTTTACTAATCTCCATCTAAATATTTCTTTTCTTTATCATTGACTAGCGACCCGCCCCGACTTCGCACAGGTGCAATGCTGAATGTTTTGCTTTCGACATCTCATTAGAACTTCTCATTGAACTTAGAACCTCTAAAATTATCAGTGTTTCTCTACTACATTATTCATGAATTATACATATAGACCTCCTCTTGAATCACTCTATCTATTAAAGTAAGTTGTGTAATTTTAAAGATCTAAGCTTATATTTGGGCATACAGACAGCGGGACGACTTTGTTTTATACTATGTAGTGATGTTCGTATTCTCACTTACTCTGCCTTGAATCGTAGCGTTGCAGCTGTTGCAAACGGCCGGTCCTCCGTCCTTCGTCGACTGCAACATAAAGAGAAACTTGTTTCTTTATCACGTTATTACCCCTTGTAGTTAATTTGAATTCGTTAGACATTATACAAACAGTCGTAAGAAATACTGTTACAATATTACAATATATATATATATATATATATAATTTAACAATATCCTTGGTGCTGGCACCGAGACTTAAGCTCTGGTTCCTCCAGTATATAGAATTAAAACCAGCGCCGGACTCTGAACTATCACGGCTCTACTTGAACTAGGCATTTCGTAATAGAAGATTCCGAAAGTTCTTTAGGCCAATGATTAAAAATTACTACCTACCACAAATAACGTTTCTAAAATTGTCTTTATAGGTTTTTTTTTTTTATTTCTTTATGTTTAAGGGACTTTTGCTCTTATGTTATACAACTTTGACTTATTACTAATACTTATTTAAAAGTTTTAGCCATAAACTCATACAGTAGATTTGCATTTTCACTATTTGGATGGCATAACAAAGAATGAAAAAGGCCAACATTGTATTTGCTTAAATTCATGTCTCTTAACAAGTTATTCCTATTGGACTCATTTCTAACACATTCCATCAACAGGTGATGAAGGTCATCATCAAAGTCACTCCACATTCCTCACAATTTGGTGAATTAATTTTCTTCATAAGGAAGGCAAATTTGTTACATGGAATGTGTCCAGATCTGAGTCTAAGACCTGTACATACTAGTTTCCTACACAAATTAGTATTTATGAACCACGGTATCCGACAGGGCTGGCACTGAATTGTTTTATACCATATACCCTTATCTAAAGACCGTTTATCAAAATATTCCTTCCAAAGATCATAGCAAACATTTTTGAATTTAGGTAAAAATTCTGTATAGTCTGGAATAAAATTGGGTTTATTTCCATACTTAATTGCAAACTTCGCTAGCTTGTCAGCCTTTTCGTTACCCCCTAAACCAACGTGTGATGGAACCCATTGCAATCTCAGTTGGATACCCTTCAAACTCAACACATCTATCTTATGTAAAATTTCATAAGCTATCGTTCCACCTCTGTGTCCAGTGGTGCATCGAGCTATATGTTGCAAGGAACTCTTGCTGTCAGTGCATATTACAATATTTTTGTAATCATTGTTATTAATTAAATAAGACAAAGCCTCAGAGATTGCAATAAGTTCCAGCGTCATAATACATATATTTTCACTTATTTTAAAACAATGATAGTTCTTTATAGGTCATCAATATTATTCACAACTATATAAATATAACGTGCGATAAAAATAATTAACAATTATGTTCAATGGCATCACGCGCCTCGAATAAAGCGTCGTTAGTTTTTCCCCTATTAGTTAATAACATAACAGCGCAGTATATATCACTACTGTTAACTTTAATGTTAAAACAGCCGCTCAAACCATGTCTCATTTACGGTGTCGTGAATGTTATTTTTTTATGTCAGAAGTTGTAAAGCCGGCGGTGTTCCTTAGGATAAGGACAAGTGATAAAGGCCGCCCATGGACATTTACAACACCTGTAGGGTTGCCAGATGCGTTGCCATCTTTTAATAAAGTGGGCCCCTGTTACCTCAGTCACCAAACGCAGAAGTACAATTCACGACGCTCTTTTGTCAATTCGCGGTAGTTACCCGGACGGACCTGCCCATTTGTGCAACAGCGAAGACTGTACGTAACAGTAACCAATTTTCTAAACACTCACACACACAAACTGGTGTTATAACAACACCGCAGATAATAATGTATTATACAGATATGGTCGGAAAATCTAAGAGGGTCGAGACGTTCATATTTACGTCTATCTGGTTCGTAATGTATGGACTATGATGTTTGTTCAGAGTTATATTCGACACAAAACATCGTCGAAACATCGACGCTGTAAACGAATTCGTAATGTTTTGAAATATGAATGACAGTCGTTTATTCTTTTTCGATTGATCATTCTTTTACATAATTATGGCAATTCGTCGTGAGAAAATTGCATATTAATTAAATGGCCTGTTCTCCTGTGTCATTAGCTTTATTATCGATGTTGATGTTGATAAATGTAACAGCCATGATTAAGGTGTCATAATAAATTTATAACGCATAAATGCCTTTAAGACTTGCATTTAAAATTCGTCGAATGAAAACACAATGTCACTAAAACTACTCGTCGTGAGAAAATTGCACTTTTATTAAATGGTGTGTTCTCTCCTGTGTCATTAAGTATATTATCGATTTTGATAAATTAATTAGCCATGATTAAGTTGTCATAATAAATTTAGAAAGCATTACAACGCTGCTGATATTTATCCTTTAAGACTTGCATTTAAAATTCGAATTAAAAGCCAATGTCACTAAAGCGATCATCTCATACGTTTATCCCGTCAACTTGACTTTGACCTTGAAGAAGAATACTACGTCGCTCTCTTGTTCCGTCTTGAGCCGATTTCAATTGAAAGGTCCCTCTCGTAATGGAGACTTCGTTAGCCACTAATGGCCGGGGCAATTTCCTAAGTGCACTATATTGGTCCTTGCACAGTGTGTGCGACGTACGGCACGCCGCTGGCCTCGACCCCACAGCTAGGTACTCGCGTGCGAACACGTAATGTGAAATGTCGAGATTGGGATCTTGTTCGATTTTAATACGACACAATTAGCACGCTTCTCCGATCGCTTGGTCTGTTTATGTGCAGTTGTGAACATTTTTACGTTTGTACGCACGCCTCCTCCGCTTGTAGATTTGAATTCGACTCGTTATCGTCTATTTGTTTATTTGGAATGATTCCACCAGTCGATATTATATTGTTTGTTTGTGTCTGTAAATGATTTCAGTTTGTGTAATTCTTTGAAAATAGTAAAATCTCTGAAATGTGCTCGCAAAAGATTTGAAAGCGCAAATTAAAGGGTGATGTCATAACTATGCTTATACTACTTTTCAATATCAAAAAACTTGGTTAAATAACAAATTACATTGTTTTAATTTTTAGGAACTTGCATTAAATTTATACGGAAAGTCTATGTGCTTCATCTCATGAACTTTGATTTCTACTCTTGTCCTTCAAAAACACAACCAATAGGTTTATCAGGGTGTTTTGACTGTAGAAGAACTTCTTCAGAAGAAGAACACAGTCAACCGATGAAACGTTAAAATTTATAGAAAAAAGGACGAAAGGTAACTCGCCGTCTTCTGGATTCGCGCCCAGACTATGTATCCTAAGCCAATCGCCGGTGTGACAATCAGCCGTTTGGCTTAGCGGTTAAACCGTCTGGTCGCAAATCCGTAAGCGGTGGATTCGATTCCCGCAGCGGAGACTAACTTAGTCCTGTTTTCTACTTATTTTAAGTTGCATAAATCATTAACTACAACTATTGATCCACGTGTAGTATAGGTGACATGTTCAGATGGAAACGCGCCGGCCTTGCCTTTCCCGTCATGTGCCTGTTTACGTTATGACGCCATTCCATGCGTATTACGATGTACGGACTATGTGGTAACACAGTTCAAACATGTACTTCGACGGAAGTCACTGTCATCTTCTCCCGCGCTGACTTACTATGCCATCTTCTCTTCCTGTATCGTAATATATACAGCCTTATCCATATCTTACGAGTGTATTTCACACCTACTTGTAAACTTACTTACACAAGAAGTAACAAAAAATAACACAAACCCAAAAAATAATAATAATATAAAATATTATTCTTGGGGTTTGTGTTATTCTCCTGCATGCGGACCTTGTCGGATAATTATTTTGTGTTTGAAACGAAACAGTCAATGTTGACGTTGTTCATTTTAATACAAGTTATATATCTCGAGATAGAGTCCAGCATTAGATTTCGAATTAATGTTAACAGACCCAATCGTCCGGAAAAGTAGCATGATAGCAATGAATACGAGTGTAAAGTAGCAAACATTATCAATGAATAAATCAGGATTCATATATTTTCGCGGTGCGTCACTACTACATCTGTTTGGGTCGTTGTTTAGTGCGATGGCCAATACGAGGCTGCCACTCGAGAACCTCTTCCCCATCGGTTATCACGTCTACGAGCTAAAAGGCCGACCCATACTTCATTATTTTAAATAACAAACATCATTTAACTAATTGCAGATGTGCACTCTGTGGTTTTTTTAATTGATTCCACACACACACACAGTTCAACTTATACCGTTCATACCAGAAATCTAGCATGAGTATCTTTGCTCACTATAAATTCAGACCACGTTATTAGATAAGTGAATTAGTCTTTAGTTGATTCATAAACGGGACCTGTCCTAACACAGGTAGAGTATGCATCGGCCATATTCGTAATGGGGCATATCAAAGGGAGCTCATCGCAGTCACGAAAGCGTGTCACACGCATTTGGAGCGGTCGTCGAGGGGACAATGCACATTGCGCGCCTTATATAGTGCACGCGCAACCGTACAGGCGAGCCAAGTCTCAAGCGGCAGCGGCTCGCCTCTAATAATGGTTTTATTATAGTGGTGAAACTTTTTGCGAAACGAATTTAACATTCGAGTGTTTAAAGATCAGTATTGTAGCATTTAAATTAGGTCAAGTGTTTTGTTTTTTATTTTTTTACTTGTTGCACTCTCATACGAAATCTGTTATAATTCAATGTTATTTTTTGATAATTTTGATTGCTGGCTTCTTACAAACGTTACCTAACTGTATTCGTATTAATGAACTTTAAATGTATTACTGATTAAGAAAATAGATGGCCAAGTCTCAGGGGATAATGGACCTGTCTCTAGCGCCTAAGGTGGGTTCGATCCAAACTACTGCAATGATATAGTATACGATGTTTTTCTAGTATCTGGGTGTGAATAATATGAATTTATTTAAACAACGAAAGTATTTTTATTTTAGTATTTAAATATGGTTGGAAACCTACAACCTCCGCTTAGTTTGAAACTAGACAACGTTTTGTAAGAGTTTAATATTTATGTATATACTTTATTGTACACCCACACACAAAAAATATTTAATACGGTTAATATAAAATAATTTAAAAAAA